CCGGCTGTGGGCTGTGGGCTCAGGCTGCTTGGGACCCCACTCCAGCTCAGCCAAGCCATGCGAACGCAGACAACTGCTTAGTCTTTCTATGCACACTGCCTCAAATGTGATGTGAGAATAGCAGTACCTGTCTCAGATAATATTTATGGTCCAAAGCAATTTAATTTTCAAGTACAGTCTCTCAAGTCAGACCTCGAGAAGCGACACAGCACATGCAGAAATAACAGCGCGAGCCGTCCTGGGCTGTCTGCACTGCCCCCTCAGCTTCTTTTTTGCATTTTGTTGTTGATGGCACCCATCTGTCCCCTTTACACACCTCTTCATAGGCTTGTTCTTGTTGATATTTAAGATTCATTTTAAATGAAGCTAGACAGCAGGTTCTAGGATTGTGTTAGTTCTAATTACTAATGCAATAGATGAGGTCTGAAGGAATTTTTAAAGTATTCTTTATAAAGCAAAGCAGCTTTTAGCCTGAAAAAGAAAGAAAAACGACCTCAAATGATATGCTGTTGTTTCCCCACATAGCATGACTATCTATACCCATTTTTCTCAGAGCTACAAGTTACTCTGACCACTGAGAACATATTAGGTATAAATGCCATCATCACCAAAAAAAGTAGTCACCCATGTAATAACTATAAAAAACTGAATACAATTTCAATGTTAATCTTTTTGCGTTTACTTCCAAAAGATGTAACTAGTTATTTCTAAAAAATGTAGTTACCAAAAATTTCTATTCAAAGACATTTTTCCAAGAACTTCAAAGCATGTTAAAAGTTTCTTTTTATTTTTTTGTCCTTACCACCTCAGTTGAACATTTGTCTCTGCATTTTTTTTTCTTTTTCCTTTTTATCGGTACCAAGGATCGAACTCACTACTGCCTGCTTGCAAGGCAGGTGCTTATGCCACTGAGCTAAATCCCCAGCCCCTTTAAATCCCCAGCCATTTTATAGAAGAAAGAATTCCCTCATCTTCCTCCTATAAGCGACTACTACGTTAGGCTTTACATTAATAAAAGAAAAACATAAGATAATCAATTGGTAAAGAGATAAAGTTAATTTTGGCTCACAGTTTTTAAAGTTCTACTCTATGATTGACTGATCTCATGGCCTGGGCAAAAATCAAAGGGGAGCACATGGTGGAACCAAAATGTTCACTTGACTGTGGTCCAAAGGGAAGGGAGAAGGGGTGGGATCCCACAGTGCTTTTCAAGGACGCGCCCTCAATGACCTCACCTCCCATGATGCTCTGCCTCTTCAAGTTTCCACCCTCCTACCAGTACCTCCTTGGGGACCAGGCCTGAGCACATGGGCCTTTGGGTGGCATTCAACATCCAAAGTACCACAGTAGCCCGGAGACATTAGATTCCCCAAAGACTTGGTGCTGGCTTTTCATTCATGGTACTTCGTCTTCCTAAGCACCTATTTCATTTTGGGGGTGGTACCAGAAATCAAACTCAGGACCCTGTGCTACATCACTAACATTAATGCCTATTTTAAGTAACATCTCAGGACGTCCAGTCTGATGTTTCCGAGTCTGACTTTTGTGGATGCCAGTCACACTGTCTTCCTGTTGCTCAAGTGTGGCAAGCTCTATCCTGACTCAGAGTTTTCCCCCTGGTTCCTTTTCCAGGAAGGCTCTGCCTTCTCTTCCTTCAGATCCCTCTTTGAACGTTGTTTCCTCAGACAGAGAAAGGCGTTCCTGACCACCCCTCCCCAGCCAGTGTGCTGCTCCCATTAATACTGCCGCAGTACATCGTTTTATTCCTTTTCCCCATAACTTTATTTATCAAAATAAAATGCTCTGATTTATTTCACTCCTGAGAGTCAGTGTCCCCCACTCGAATATAGATATATATCCTTTGAAGGTAGGAACATTGTCAAACTTGTCACTATAGTATCCCCAATATTTAAGATAGTGTCTGACCCCCAAATTCAAAGACCTAATCTAAAAATAGGCATCTGAGATGAATATGCACCTCTCAGATGAAGAAATACAAATGACAAATAAATATATGAAAAGAAAATGTAGCAAGATAGACTGCTCTTAAATTAACAAGGACCTCAAATCAGCCTTGCAGTAAAGTCACTTAAACACATAGATATACTTTGGAATTTATATAAATACTCACATTTTACTTTGGATTTTTTTTTTTTTTTTTTTTGTACCAGGGATTGAACTCACAAAGTCATGCTTGCCAGGCAGGCACTTGTGCTGCTAAGCTAAATTCCCAGCCCCTTACTTTGGAATTTATATAAATACTCATGTCTTCTTCACTGTAGAATGCTTTTAATTGTACAGCTCACAGTTATTTTATGGGTCACTAAGAATTCAAAAGTGTGGCAAACTGAACCATTGCTCATCAAATTGTGACGTAAATCCTGTTCAAATGTGAAAGCTATGCACTTCCAAATCTGTGAAATGGGATATACACTGTTGAGTGTCTGCTGCACCCCCAGAGATGAGCCAGGAGACAGGCTTTTGTTCATCACTGTATCTGGCACCACATGAATAAAGCTCTTGATAAATCCTCCAGCGAATGAGCAAGTGAACAAATGCATGAATTGTAGATCTAATGGGAGTTTTTTCTTATAATCTGAGTGTCTCAGCGATAAATGAAATTATGCCTTTTACATCAGCATTAATGGCTTAAAAATACTATAAACTAACAATATTATTGCCTAATATTTGTTTTGAAGTGACACATTTATTTCTTTGGAAGGAAGTTTTGGAGATGATTAAAGTCTGATGTATAAGAACCTCCCACCTCTGCAATAAACAGGTGAAGATGGATTTGGGCTGTGCTCATGAGTAAGCCGAGATGTTTAATATACCAAGTGAACTGGGTGGGGAGACAGGCTGTTATCACCTCCTCCTCTTCCCTGGGTTTAAAAGACAGCCCAATTCGGGGACTCTGTCTTTTACCTAGGAGAAAAGACTTTCCATGCTTACTTTTTCTAGAATCCTGTAAGTGGACATACTATTCTTTTGTCTGGGCACTATTTACTTCTGCTACAGGAAAGGCATTTAACAGGGCAAAAAGCAATGTCTTCATTCAGATCCATAGAGGACATAATAGAAAGTGATCATTGAACTAAATTCTTGTACAGAGACACACATGTCAGAGTTCTGCCAAGGAAGTCACACTCTGACTCCTGGTGGTGTTGGGTAATCTATTTTCTCCCCTGTCCTTCTGCCATCTCTGCCCCAGTCCTCAGTCATCTCAGTAACTGTGACCATCAAACAACTGCCAAACACCGATGCAAAGTGGCCCATGGGCTGGTGGGGCTCCACCAAAAATGTTCAAGTTGGCAACTATATGAGAAAAAGTCCTTGTCAGAAGAGGCTATCAGTTATATTCGCACAGATGCCTCTAAATTAATTTTTTAAAAAGCAGCTAAGGCATCTAGGTGAGTTGCTGTGCAGCTAAGGATGTGAATTGATATTCCGGACTCCTCAGCAGCCACTGACCAAGGAAAACACAAACCCCACATCTGTTTAACTGCAAATCTTTCCACTTTGTACTCTTAACTGAAAAAGTACTTTGCAGACAGAACAAATATAATTTTTAGTTTTAAAAAGTGTGTTAAGATTATAAATGAGTCTTGCTTATAGACCACAACAGGCGAGCATAATGGCCGGGGGAGGTATATTGCTTGGTGCCAAGAAGTTTTTGTTTATGGGAATGAGCACCTTGTTTGTAAATGAAACCCTGATACTAAGGTAGACAGACAGTGAGGAAGAAGAGGATCAGAGAAGGTGTCAAGAGAACCCTGCAAACGGACTGGATTAATTCTGACCCCCGAAAGCATCGAGGAACATTCATGGAAGACAGAGTGGTGTGAGGGTACCGAGAGGGCACGGGCAGCGTCTGCTGTAAAGCAAATACTGGCCTCTGTTTCAATGGTGCTGAGTTTCACACCCAATAATAGTGTGATCAGTGTGACACATGTATGTATGTATATATATATATACTGACATATACGAGTTTAGTACTCCTTGCAATTTATTAGCAAATGGAACATCTTGAATCACACACAAAAAAACCTTCAATGGATGACAGCCCCTATGGTAGGATGAGCGCCAGCATCACCGTCCTTGACGCACTAGGTATCAATCAGTACAGTAGCACTCATCCTGGTGGGACAACAAAAACATCTCTGCCGGTGTCCCGGGTGGGGGACATAATGAAGTTTCTTCTCTGTAAGTGGATAAGAATTCTGAAGTTTATGTCCCAGCTATTCTTTTTAAGTCTGCTTTTCAACTTTTCTTTCTCCCCACACACCCTACAGGATCTCACTCTGCTGCCCAAGCCGGTCTTAACCTTGAGACTCTAGCTGGGAATCTGGACATGTGTCACCCCTGTGCCAAACTGGTCGTTAACCTCTTCAGGTCAAGAAGCCTTTCAAAACCTGACAGATCTGACTTGCTCTCGCCCGTTCTAGTCCTGATTCCTGTCTAGTCCGGCTTATTCCTTCCCTGATTGTCCAGATGAATGAGAAGAAATGAAGCAGCTGGGTCAAGTCAGAAGACAGCCACTAGCCAGGCATGGTGGCACACACCTTTAGTCCCAGAACCTGGGAGGTTGAGGTGGGAGGCTTGCCGAGTTCGAGGTCAGTCTACAATACATAGTGAGTTCAAGGCTAGTCTGCCCTACACAGTAAGACCTTGTCTAAAAAAAAAAAAAAAAAAAAAAGAAAGCCATCGGACACTTGGTTTTGATTGTGAAATATAACAAGAGAGAGATGTAATGCCAGCACTTGGGAGGCTGAGACAGGAGGATGGTTGCGAGTTTGAGACCAGCGCAAGGCCAATCTGAACTGTATAGAGACCCTGTCTCAAAAAAGGTTTAAAAAGAGAGACAGATCTAAAATCTGAATAAGTTATGATCTCTGTAACCACACCCACTGAGTACTCCTAAAACCCTCTGTACAAACCCAAAGCCTCCTTAATACACACACAAGACCAACCAAGGACCCCCCCACCGGGTCAGCGCTCACCAGCGCCGGACCGCGCAGCTCCGGGACGCACAGGACCTCTGGTCAGGGTCAGCGCTCTGGGCCACCACTGCCCCGGTGCCCAGCAGGTACAGCGCCCCCACTACCACCCTAAGGCTAACCATGGTGGATGGGGCATCGGGGAGGCCGGGACGGCCAGCGGGACTCTTGGCCTTCCGGGTTCGGGAAGGGAAAGCAGGCGGGAGGGGCAGGCTTTCCTTCCCGGTAGGAAGCTGAGAAGACCGCGGACGGTGTGTCCTTCCTCTGGACCGAGGTGTCCCTGTTGCTCCATAAATAAAGCGTCTGCCTGCCTTCTCTGCGCGCGCTATAAAGGCGCGGACCTGCTGTCGCGGCCCGGGGAGGCGCGCGCAGCCGCAGCAGGTGGGCAGCGAGCCGGCCGCCGGGGACAGTCGGTGCCGGCGAGGCGGACGCGGCCAGCGGGACCCTGCGGGAGGCGGCGGGGCGGGCGGGGAGCCGGCTCGCCGGTCCCCGGACGGCTGCGCCCGACGGCCTGCTGGAATTCGCGGGCGGCGCGACCGCGCCCTCGGCCCCCTAGGGGGAGCCCGGGGTCCCCAGCCCGCCACCCGCGGCGCGCGCGTCCCGGTGCGCCCGGCCGGCGCATTTCAGGACGCGGACAGCGCCCGGGCGGCGGGTGGAGCTCGGGGCGCCGCCGCGGGGGGCGCCGGGCTCACGGCGCCGCTGTCCCCCGCTCCGCAAGTCATGGCCGCAGCCGGCGCGAGGTCGCAGCCGCCGCCGCCCGCCGAGGGCAGCTACGCCGTGGCGCGGCCCGTGTACAGCGAGCTCCTCTTCCAGCAGCGGCACGAGCGGCGGCCGCGGGAGCGCAGCACGCTGCGGGACAGCCTGGCCCGGAGCTGCAGGTAGCGCGGACGGGCGGCAGGGGGACCGGACGGCCCCGGGCAGGCGAGGCTCCGCGGGGCGCTGGGAGAGCGGGTCCCGGGGTCGCGCTTCCCTGTCCCTGCGCGCGGAAGCCCGGAGCGCAATGGCTCTCGGTGGCCCGCTGCTGAAGCCGGGCTGGGGCGAGGAGAGAAAAGGGCTCCGGAGATGACGGTGGCGACGCCTGGAATCCTGCGCTCCGGAGCAACAGGCAGGAGGTGCGCAGGTTCGAGCCTCGCCCGAGCACTTTAGCAATTTGGCTACACCTTGCCTCAAAACTTAAAGGAAAAAGCAGTGGAGATATAGCTCAGTGCGGAGACCCTGGGTTTAACCCCCGTGACGGGGAAGGTGAATAAATGATGGGTAAAGCCACCTCTCCCGAACCTCTCGAGCCGAGATCCATTCAGAGCCCGGGTGTGCGAACCAGGAGCCGCTGAGCTCCAGGTGCTGCGCCCCCGGCGATGCGACCCCCAAGGAGGGAGACCACCCAGCGTGCCACCCCGAACAGGAACCGCAAACACGGGGAACTTAGAGGCCAGTCAACCGATTGCCGGGTGTTCTTTAAACCTTTTATTACTCAACATTTAAAACATACAAATTACAGCAGTACAAAGTTTCCACTCCTCAGGCAGCTTCAAGGGTGATCAACTCGGTCATCTCCTTTCACCTGTCGCCACCCACCTGCCGCCCTCAGTATTATTTGGAAGCAAATCTCTTGTGCAGCTTTTTGTCTGGTCGTGTCTTTTCCTAATAGCCAAAAGGGGGGTCGGGTTCCAGGACCCCCGCAGGTACCCACGCCCAGGAAGTTCAAGTCCTTTTTAGAAAACGGCTTAGAATTTGCATTTAGTATGTGCATATCCTTCTGTGTTGTTTGTTAACTTATTTATTTAGTAGTACTAGGGATTGAATGCAAGGTTTTCTCGAGCCTAGTTGTATCCCTAACCCATTCATTTATCATTTTGAGACCGGGTTTCTCACTGGATTGCTAAATTGCCCTGGCTGGGCTTGGATTTGCAGTCCTCCTGCCTCAGCCTCTCAGAGTTCTGAGTTTACATTTTTGTGACTTCACACCTGGCTTCCTCCTGTACAGTTTAAATCATCTTTACATTATTTATCATACCTAATACAAGGTAAGTGCCGCGTAAATAATTGTTAAATTGTTTAGGAAACAAAGACAAAAAAATCTATACAAATGAATACAGGCACATTATCCTGATTATTTACAATCTGTTGAATACACAATTGCAAAGTTCCTAAATAAGGGTTGTGCATATCTTTAGTATATGTCTAGGGACTCTTAAAAATAGGACCACGTTCTGCTGTCCTCCTAAAAATAATTCCTTAATATCAAAATATCAAACATCATTAACATTTCTAAATGTCTCATAAATGTCATAAGTTAAACATGTCTACTTATTGTTGATATTTTTCTTTTGTTTTTGGTCGTTGAATTTGAATTTAAAATTGTTATGTGGCAAAGCCCCAGGGTATACATTCATTGTGTTAAGATTTTTTCAACACTGGCTCCTCCAAGCTTATATTGTCAAAATACACACTGTATTTATTTTTCTTTAAGAAGAATAAGGTGATGCCTGAGTTAGAAGTCTGTAAATTAATCTCCACATAGAGACTCCCCATTGATTATTCTCTAGTTGGACCAGATAATGAGTTTTTGTGTAGGGATATTTTCTCAGAGGATTAAAAAGGTGGAAGAGGGGAGGGGACACTTAATCCTGTGTTTCCCAGTACAATGCATTTAAAAGGATAGATACAATTCTTTGCACAAACATGGTAAGCACTTCAGCATTAGTATTTTCCAGGAGGTTTTTATTCTTTTTCTAAATAACTATAAACATCAGCAGAGTTCAGTTCATAGCTTTGGGATCCGCAATGAGGTAAGACTGAAATCAGATTGGTAATCCTCTTTTTTTTGCCTTCTGATAGTTGTTCAAGAAGGAGAGCCCTTGGCGTGGTGAAGAGTCTCCTGCCGGTGCTGGACTGGCTCCCCAAATACCGAATCAAGGACTGGCTGCTCAGTGACATCATTTCGGGAGTTAGTACTGGGCTAGTGGGTACCCTGCAAGGTAAGGGTTTGGTGGACTGGCTCAAGGGGCTGAGTGTTACTGTCTCCTGCAGCCGTACCTAATGCCCCTTCCTACTGCCATGCTGTGTCCCAGTGCCTGCTCACCCTTTGAGTCTTTCATCTTCCCTCTGGAGCCCTTTGGTGGAAGAACACATTTCTTTTCTCTTGTTCTGTGGAGTTCTCTTCCTGGAACATGCGTTGCTTCTCTAGCTGTGTGGTTCCAGCCTAGAGGCGTAGACCAGGAAACAGTGGCAGCCTGAACTGGCTGGCCACAATGCACAGTAACAAGTACAGGCTGCTTCGTGATCTGTGCACTTATAACTAAAGTTATCCTGGTGCACTCTGATTTTTTTTCTTTTGTTTTTCATACTGGTGGTCAAACTCATGACCTCACATTTGCCAGGCAGACATTGTGCCACTGAGCTAACCCCCTGGCTTGCATTCTGATTTTCTATTCTGTTCTGCTTTTTTTTAAAATTCCAAACTGAGGATTGAAAAATATTCTCACATGGGTTTGTTTGGAAACTGGATTTATCCCATAATATTTCCATGAGCGTCTTAGAAATCTGTTACATAGCTGGTGTGCAGTGGAATGGCCATTCTCTTCTGTCTCTCATCCTCGCCATCTTGATTCTCCACTGAACCCCACCCCCAATGGCCCACACTTTCCAAACTATGGAAACAGAAGAAGTCCTACTTATTCTCTGTAATTTTATGGAGCACCTGGTACGTCGTGCCAGACACTAAGTATACTGGCAAACTTAAGATGCATCACCTACTGTCAGGAGCCTCATGGTCGGTGGAGAAATGGGCTCTCAGAGGGTAACACTGCCTGCTAAAGGAGGGGCCATGAGATGTGCTCAGCCCAGTCTTTGGGGACTGGGAACGGGGTGGAGCTGTCAAAGCTGTTTTCCTGGAGGTTAAGTCTGAGTTTGCCAAGTGATGGGTGTGGATCACTGTGGATGTGTGTGGAGGATGACTTGAAAGTAGACTGTTTTAGGGTTAGTAATCAATAGAGAGCTAACATCTGGCTGCTGAGCTCAGAGCAGGCCAGGTGGCTTCCCACCAGAGCAAGGATGTTCTGTGGCCCATAGGACGGAGCATACTCTCAATCCTGAAGGCTCAGTTCACAGCTATGCTCCCCACAGCAAGCACCTGCACACAGTCAATGGCTCCATGAATATTTGGCAAAAAGGACTGAATATATATGTGAAAAACTGTATTTCCAGGTCTAGGCTTCCAACTTTTCATAGACAAGTAGGGTTAGGATTAATTTTCTTAATATGCGTCAGATGTTATGAGAAGGTTTTGGCAGGCATCTTCTTTAATAACTCACGTCATCCCTGCAAGGTAAGTTCTAGTGTTATCTGTCTTTCAATAGATGAGAAATCTATTAAATCATGCCTAAGTCTTAAAACTTGTAAGTGGCAGAGCTGAGATTTGACCCTAACGTCTAATTCCTACAGTCTTCATCTGTACGTTGTATGTAATTCCTTATTTTACAGCTCAAGTGTTTTTCCAGAAACATCTCTACAGTTATCTTTGCATGGTGAATTTCTGAGAAGTTAATCCAGCTCATTCATACATTTGTTTATCATTTGTTTGTGTCATAAATATTTACAAACAGTTTGGTATGCTGGGTATTCAGCCGTGGGGATTTAGTGGTTTTTCTGCCTGGGACAGGTACAGTACTGACCTCACGGACCCCATTTCTGGTGGTAGAGATAGGAATTAAATAAGGATATAAATAGAAAAATGGTTGTAGATTGTGACATTCATTTCGGTGGGTTAAATATGTTACTGCAGGAGTTAATTTGGGGAGAAAGTCTGCTTAGATACAAAGTCAAGGAAGCGGTGCAGAGGAGGTGAAATTAGACAGAATGATGAGACAGTCATGTGATGAGGGAAGAGAACGGTGGGCCAGGTGAGGATGCAGAGGCCCTGGGGACAAAAAGCGCACAGCACTTTCCAGGGAGGAAAGGGAAGAATTCTGGCAGGTGGGAGCACAGGAGGAGGGCAGATGGAGAAGAGGTAAGGTTGGGCAAGCCCCGGGTAGGGAGAGATGAGGCAGGCACTCCCTCTGTGACCACCTCCATCACCTCTCTCCGTCCTCTGAAACCCAACCCTGAGGACAGGCATGGCAGTGTGGAGCAGATCAGGCAGGACAGGGAGAGATCTGCTAGATTAGCACCATATTTTGCAGCAAGGATCACTGCTAGATTCTGATGGTGCAGATGAAAATCACAGACAACGCTAAGATTGTTGGCTCGTGCAGCTGGGTAAAGGATGATGTCATGTACTTTGTGGCAAACACCAGCTTCCCAGGGGGTTTCTCTTCGGTCATGTGAGGTTTGAGGTATATGTGGGACATTTAAGTGGAGCTGCCAAGCGGAGAAGTTGGAGCCACTGCTCTTGAGAAGGGCGAGGAGAGCAGGCAGGGCCCAGTGTGGAGGGGACGTCTAAAGGAGAGGAATGCTCGGCAGGAGGGCAGGTTGGGGAAGGCAGGAAAGCTGGTGTGCTTAGAGCCGGGAAATGAAGAGGGGAAACTGAGTCTGGGAATTTGGGCTCAGGAAGTTGGAGAGAAAGAACAATGAGAAGAATGAGGGAATCAAAACACACACACAAAAAACACAGAGGTAGAGAACGTGAGAAAGCACAACAAACTGCATTTAAGAAATTTTGCTGTGTGTGAGGCAGAGAGAAACTTCTAGAAGTAAATTCAGGAAAAGTCAAGTGCAGATGGGTTCTAGGACAGAAGTGGGAGGATTCACTCCTTAATGACAAGAAAAAGATCCCTTCCATTTTCTATTTTTTTTTTTTTTGTCTTTTTCATTTTTATCGGTACCGGGGATTGAACTCACAACTGCCTGCTTGCAAGGCAGGCACTTATGCCGCTGAGCTAAATCCCAGCCCCCCACCCCTTCTTCCTTCCCTTTGGACCACAGTGAAGTGCTAACTTTTCTTCCTCGACAGGGATGGAGAAAGGACAAGTGCAAAAATAACCTTCAGCCTCAGAACACAACCGAACACTGAATTCAGACCAAACCGTGCATGTACAAGACTGGTCGGAGCCTTTAGACTGAATTTGACCAGGTTTCTAATCAACCACTGATTGATTATTTTAACCGCTGATGTGATCAGTTGACAACTGGTTTACTGATTAGTGGAGTCAACACACAGCCATGCAATTTTTTTTTTTTTGTACCTTCAACCCAGGGCCTTGTGCTTGCCAGGCAGGTGCTGTGCTGCTGAGCTACATTCTAGGCTCACAGCCACACAGTCTTTATCCTGACTTAGATGTGGGCTGAATGCTAGCATAGCTACAGTCTGTATGTAAGATAAAGAAGCCGACCAGGCCAGGCCGATGTGTGGAATCCACAAGTCAAGAACACCCAAGAGAAGTTTTTTCTTTGCGCAGTATAAATAAAACAAAGTCTTTGCTTGAGAGCCTAATCATGTTTCCTGTACTTTCAGGGATGGCCTATGCTCTGTTAGCTGCGGTTCCTGTTGAATTTGGGCTCTACTCTGCCTTTTTCCCAATTCTGACATACTTTATCTTTGGAACATCAAAGCACATCTCAGTTGGTAATTATAAGCATATTTTACTTTTCTATTTGCCTATGTTTGAAGTGCCTAATTACGGATTGCATGCCTCCATCGCTCTGTTGATGTTTTCTAGGAAAATCAGTCTTCAGCTTTGTGTACTTTTCCTATTCAATGACAGTAGTTAGTTAGCTTTATGTAGGACTTTGCTTTAATGAAAAAGATAAAACTGAAAGACTACAAAATATTGCCTACTTCAGAGTTTAGCATAAGTGATTTTTTTTTTCAATTTTTTTCATTTTTATCCGTACCAGGGATCAAACTCACGACCACCTGCTTGCAAGGCAGGTGCTTATGCCACTGAGCGAAATCCCCAGCCCCAGCATAAGTGATTTTTAATATGTAATAAACTTTATTCCATATTAGAAAGTGTTCTCTCCCAAAATATAAAGTGACCGGAAAAAAAGTCCTCAGAAGGTCTTTGAACCCCCCCATTTTACTAGATGAATTTAGCATTTACTAGTTTATGTTAATCAGTAAGATAGTCATTGGTTCATTGAGTAGTCCTTGGGGTGTGTGTGTATGTGTGTGTGTGTGTGTGTGTGTGTGTGTTTACACGTGTGTTACTGGAGAGCAAACCCATGGGAGGTCTACCACTGAGCTACATCTCCAGCCCTCTTCATTTTTTAATTTTATTTATTTTTTATTTTATTTTAGCCCTTTCAAGGTCTTACTAAGCTGCCCAGGCTGGCCTTGAACTTGTACTCCTCTGAAATAACTGAAATTGCACCTCTGTGTCACTGTGCCTAGCTAAGGGGATACACTTAATCACTACTATTTGAAGACTGGCAAAATTTTGCCAAAATAATGTAGAAACCAAGTGTGGCCTCTTAGGATGGCTTAAAAATTACTTTTCCACCTACCGTTTCTAAATTTTAAGTCCTCTTTTTTTGTAACAGGAATCAAACTCAGGATCTTGTGCTTGCCAGGCAGGCACTTGTGCCACTGAGCTATATCCCTAACCCTTAGGTCCTCTTTTGCTGAGGTGCTAGTATATGAATATTTTAAGGCTATTTTGTGCCATTTTGACATTTATACCAGAGATAATTTCGTTTCTCCATCCATCTATTAACTAGACCTGTCTACCTGGATAATCTTAAAACAAACACAATCATTCACTCTGCCTTTAACCCGTGTCCCTCTGCCTCCATGTATCTCTCCCAGTATCCACTTCTCTGGCCTTGCCTGTAGAGATCAGAATGGGGTTATTAAAAGAAAGAACTTCCTTATCTTGGAGACCAATCAATATCAAATGCTTGACTAGGTGAGCAATATAGTAGCTGATTTTTCTCTGGTGTTCTCCACAGTTAGACATTGCAGGTTAGCAGGTGCTGGGTCTTCCTAATCATAAACCTCACCATGATCAAAGGATAGGATCATCACCTCCATCATCAGCCATGTTATCAGCAAAAACATCAGTAATGTATGCAGCAGTTGCTGGAAGAGATTAGAACTTTTATGTATGTATTTATTTATTTTAAAGAGAAGAAAAGAAATAGAAAAAAGCAGATCAGAACAAAATAATGCAAGCACCACAGGATTTCAAAACAAGACAACAGGAAATCAACAGTGGCTACCATAATATCTCTTGTTTTCTTCAAAATAGTTGTCTGGGGGCTGGGGATTTAGCGCAGCGGCATAAGCGCCTGCCTTGCAAGCAGGCAGTTGTGAGTTTGATCCCTGGTACCGATGAAAAGGAAAAAGACAAAAAAAAAAAAAAAAAAAAAGAGTTGTCCATATTTTCACAAACAATGAATTCAAACAAGACAAAGTAGTATAAAACCAATCAAAGCAAAAGAATGAAAGCATTACAGGCCTTCAAAACCAGACAATAGGAAAATCCACAATGGCTATCTTAATGTCTCTTGTTCTCTTCAACATAGCTGTCCATACCTTCATACATATTGAAATTAAATAATGCAAAATTGACTAAAACCAATCAAAACAAAGAATAAAAGCATTATTGGACTTTACAACAAGATGATGGGAAATCAGCAATGGCTGTCATAATGTCTCATTTTCTTCAAAGTAGCTGTTCATGACATTAGAACTTTTCAAAGCATAGCCCTTGCAGACTGGCTGAAACAGTCATTTGTCTTGCAAAGAGCAAAAGAGAAATTACATACTCTCTTTGCTAATTTGGATCCTATGGTATTGATCAAGGTTCTTGGACTTAGAGAACAGGGTATCAGAAGCTCCAGGAAATGAAAGAGATTATATAGAATGAAAATTTATATGCTGTCTCTGCCAGGAAACCTTTGCTGACAACTCCCACCCCTCCGTCCACCCGTCCTACACATGCGGGTCACACAGAGAACAGGAATGATGGATGCACTGATTTCTTTCCTCAGGCCCTTTTCCAGTGGTCAGTTTAATGGTGGGATCTGTTGTTCTAAGCATGGCGCCCGACGAACACTTCATCACGCCCAGCAGTAATGGAAGTACACTGAATACAACCGTGGCAGGTGCCATCATCAACACCGAGGCCAGAGATGCAGAACGAGTACTGATTGCAAGCACTCTTACTCTTTTGGTTGGAATCATACAGGTAATAGACTTACATGTAATATATAGGCTGGTGTGATTTTTATTTGAAATAATTTTAAACCACATCACAGAAAAGCGAAAGAAATTAATTTCCTGGACTTCAGTTATTTTGCAACTTAGATTATTTTAGGTAGATACTAAAATAGTTTGGTTCAACTGGTTGGTTGTCTAGGTTCAACTTCCCATCAGAGAAGTCAGAGAGAGACAGAGAGAGAAACAGGGAACATGAATGATTCAATAGACGATGAAAGAAGGGAAGTCACATAAGTGACATGATTTTTGCTTTTGAATTTTAAAAGTAGTGGAGAGGAAAGAAGAACAGGACATTAAGAAATACAGATTTTTCAAGTATTTTTGTGCTGCAAGCCAGCTATTAGTGCTTTAATGGGTATTAAGCTTAATTCATTACCATAACCAGAGTTGGCTTTTCTGTCATGCCAAAATTTATGTTTTTCTTTCATCCGTCTTGTCTTAGCTTGTATTTGGAAGTCTGCAGATTGGATTCATAGTGAGGTACCTGGCAGATCCTTTGGTTGGTGGGTTTACAACGGCTGCTGCCTTCCAAGTGCTGGTCTCCCAGCTAAAGATTGTCCTCAACGTTTCAACCAGAAACCATAATGGAGTCCTGTCTATTATCTATGTAAGTGTTGCTCCTGGAGCCGGGGTGGGGCAGTGTTCTTACTCTTTTAAGCTTGAGCCTGGAGAATCTGTGTTCCCCAGTCTCACTTGGGGAGCCAGTCAAGAAACACTCTTCTCCGAAAGAAGCAATAGAATCAGAAGTAACATGGAAAAAGGCAGATTCTGCAACTCATTATTCTCCACTAGTCAAAATGGTTTCAGAAACATTCCTGCACTTAAAAAATGAATAAAAACAAAGTGATAAAATGGAACAGAGACAAGCTTAGGATGCAGTAGACTTGGCATTGGTCTTGGCTTTGTCTTTGATCAGCTAAGTGACTTTGGACACATTGTGTAGGCTAGTGGCTGGATTTCAGCCTTAGGGTTGGGTAGACTGAATTCAAATTTCAACACTGCTATTTACGAGCTATCTGAGCAAATCACCGTGCCTCAGTTTCCTACTCTGCAGAATGGGGTTATTAATACCATCTACTTTGCTGGATTGTTAAACAAGAACAGATAAGGAGCTCTTGGTCTAGGGCCTGGCACATAGCAAATACTAAAAAAGTTATTATTTTGGGAGGCTGGGAATTTAGCTTAATGGTACAGGCATGAGGTCCTGAGTTCAATTCCTGGAATCCGCCCCCCCAAAATGTTATTATTTTGAAACTATTATTTTAGGTCTTTCTTTCTTTCTTTCTTTCTTTCTTTCTTTCTTTCTTTCTAAATGAAATGATTGGAAATGTAAAGGTCCATAAAATGTATAATGTGTACATCTCTGCAATTATAAATGAAAAGGAATATTAGATTGAGATGATTTAACATGCAAAAGAAGGCTATAGAGCACACTAATTCAATATGAGGAGTCCTTAAATCTAACTATATACAAAATGTGTTACTGATGCTTGAAAAATGGTGATAATAGTAACACGATGTCACTTTAGCTTAGGGGAAATGATGCTCTGAAAACATAATGCACTGCTGGGCATGATGGCACACAATGCAAGCACTCAGGAGGCTGATGCAGGAGGATCACCTCCAGTTGAAGTCCAGCCTGAGCTACATAGTGAGTTCAAGGCCAGTCTAGACTGCATAGCAAGATCTTGTCTCAAAAGAAACAAAGAAACAAACAATACACCAACATTAATAATGGAGATTAAGAATGGAGTTTGAGGGGCTGGGGATTTAGCTCAGCGGCATAAGCGCCTGCCTTGCAAGCAGGCAGTCGTGAGTTCGATCCCTGGTACCGATAAAAAACGAAAAAGACAAAAAAAAAAAAGAGTTTAAAAAAAAATAGAATGGAGTTTGATTCCATTACTCACCTATTAGTTTCTAAAACAATGTAAGACCATGTATACATATCAAATTGCCACAAGTCCACATTATTCTATTCATTCAGTAAATTTTGCTGTATGCCCACAGGCTCTGCTCTAAGCAGTGGAAATAGACGAGGAGCATAACATAGTGATTAAGATTGGACTGATTTTGAACTTCAGCAGACTTGAGCTAGTCTTGGCTCCACCACCTACTGCCTTGTGACCTTGGGCTTGTTACAGTTAACATCCCTAAGGCTTTTTGTCCTTAATTCTAAAGTAGGATTAATAATGGTAGCTACTTCTTGGAGTTGTGAGGATTAAAAAGAGAAAATTTGTGTAAATCACTAAGCACAATATATGGCACAGAGTAAGAACCCAGTTTACTGTTACTGCTTTTATTCTCATGGGTGAACAGCCCTCATGAGCTTACTGTTTACTGCCCAGAGACCCGGAACACATTAACACAGGCATTTTTAGATTCAGCATTATTTTAGTTATTATTGCTTTTCTCTCTTCCTAGGTTCTCAGATCTTTTTGAGGTCTGTAGACTTCCTTATTCTGATGGCGCGGTCAGTTTTGTAGCCCCTGACACATCTTGCTTTTAATTGCATTCGTATTTTCTCCATCAACTGTTCGTTTATTCTTTCATTGTTGTTCACTCAGTTCACCTAGTTAATAAATACTTACTGAATATCTTCTCATGTGCCAGCACTGTTTTCTCCCTGTCAACTCCCTGAACGCATTCCTTACTGAGTGTGCTCACCGCCTTGTGCAAACATTCTAGGCCTGCAGCTCCTCAGATCATAGGAGGTCTGGACCAGTACTAGATCTGGGATGCTAGTCATTGCTGGACCTCTGTAGAACAGGGGAAATGGTTCTTCTGGTTTCCTAAGACTGTGTTTAAGAAGAAACGTGCTGCAAATGATTCAAATTTGACAGGGGCAAAAGAGACCAAGAACCACCAGATCGAGGTCAAAAAATAGTTTTCAAACCAATTATTATGTGATTTAGTTCTTGTTGAATATTATTAATCTGGTTTCCATTTAGCGTGCACCATAGGCTTTCTTAGTGGACTTAATTTCTTAGAGAGATTTTACACTCATGGAAAAACTGGGCAGAAAGTACAGGTACCCGTGCCTACTGCCCCCACCCCAAGATTCCATTGCTATCAATACCCTGTATTACACCACAGTGGTGTATTTGTTTTCACTGATGAACCTACTGTCCTAGACTTTTGGAAGGAATTCCTCACATGCTAGCCAAGTTCCATAAAGGTATTTCAGTTATTCCGAGTGGTAGTAAATATAAGTTCCTGTTGTGAAAAGAAAGAATAGACAGCTCTGTAAATGATTGCGTAAGGGTTGAAAGAGCCAGTTGGTCCCTGAAAGAGTTTTGTGTGTGGCATTACTATTGCAATCATTTATGAAAGAATCCTTCAATAAATGAGATCAGTGGGGAACTCCACCAAGAAAGATTGTAAAATATTTTGTCTAGAATGTAGTTAATTTATTACAGCATCATTTACAGCTTATAACATTATTTTTGTTGTAAGGCTGTACTTTGATTTGTCCTAACCCCCTCCTCCAAAGAGGTACAGATGAACGGAATCAATGAATATAAAGGATCGTAGGAGAAGCCACAGTATCAAGAGAGAAAGAAAGGAAACTTTAATTCATAAATGTCAGAGATGCTGGCTTTAGTATAGAGAAGACACAATGACAGAATGTTAGCAGTAATTTAAAATTAATACTCTGGATGCTACCATGTAGTACTCCATTATTTAAGTAAATCTGACAGTTCTTCTATTAAGGGTGGTTGTTTTCCTACAGTTCACTTTTTGAGGTTTGTCTCTGTAGACAAGGGATGTCCTCTTTGCTTGCTTTCTAAACTGATGGAGCCCGCCCCATATCTTCCACGAATGAATGAAAAGATAGCACTGAAAAGTTCTGCCCCTAAGTGAGTACATTGGAGATTAGCTTGGTCAGACTTGTAACTTTGAACTTAGTTTGATATGTTAAATTTACATCATTATAAGCAAATGCCACTTCAAGGGGCAACATGCATATATATCATATCTGATAGCAAGAAATGCCTGAGAGGGTTTGTTACCTTTGTGGAGACAAGATAAACTAAAATAAATTCAGCTCCAAAAGCTAACCAGTAAATTTCCTCATGTATGAGCTGTGCTTGAAGAATACGGTGAGTGTTTAAGTTTTTTTCTAAAATTGCATTAAAAGGTGAATGGGCATTAATCCCGCTCAAAACACTCCCACTCACTGAACACACTATTTCCCTCGTTCTTGCCAGTTTCTGAAGCAGTTCTGCGAGGCCTCTGTCACGAGCGGCATTAGTGGTGTTATTGTGGCTGCCTTGATGTCCTGAATTGACGTAAAACTTTTACCTTTCATGGTCATTTTGACTTTGGGGAAGAGCTGGAAGTCACATGGTGCCAGACCTATGTCTTATTGTAATCATTTTTAAACATTCTCCATATATTTTGATCATACTTTGTATAATACTAGGCACAATTTTCTCTTTATGGCTTCATAAACTCAGGTAATGGTTGGCAAAAATAATTGTCTAAGACATAGATATATGATAAAGCAAGACAGTAAAAGGAAAATGGTAGAGTCTAGATAATATGAATAGAGAAGTTTGCTACAAAACTCTTCAAACTTTGCTGTATGCTTGAAAATGGCTGTAATAAAGTATAATATAGCAATATAGTATAATATAATATAGTTATGTTATATATTATATTTTATAATATTTTATTATTTTGTATTAATATAAAATATATATAATAAAATAACTAATATATTATATATTATTTAATTATATATTTAATTTTAAAATTAATACACAAAATAAACAATAATTATATATTTTACTTATATATTATTTTATTATGTATTTATATTACATATATTCAATATATTTAGTATATTTAATAATATAGTTAAACAATGTATTATTAATAATATACATTTAATAATATATTATTTTAATTATATTATGATAATGTATAATATATTATTACATATTATTTTATAATATAGTATAATAAAGAGAAAAAGAATAATTTTCTAAATAAAATAATTGTGAAATTCCAACATGATAGAAAATACAGTAAAGTATTATTCATTACTGAAAACCTCACTATCATGAATTGAACTATGTTTAGAGTACTGAACTGCAATATAGAATCATATTATTCAGATTTTACTATTTTGATAATAAATTAAATTTGAATTACTGTTCAGTGTATTTTTAGAGTCTTATCTTTGAGTACAGTGTATTTTGGTTTATCTGGTTTTATTTCTGTATACATTAAACCTTCTACATAGATCTTTTCATAAGAAATGTGGAATAGTTATTCTGCACATAGATAACTAACACGTGTGCCCATCGGCTTGATTAACGCAACTGTGTTGCATTAACCGATAATTTTGCAGCTTTTTATTCAAAGGTCTAAGTGACTTTCATAGATTAAACGGAAATCCTGTAGTGATTTATGTCAAGTGAAATTTGTTTTTATGATTGGGATTAGTCCAAATGGTTTTTTTTTTAAGTTTTGATTTTTTTTCCATCTTGAGCTATAAAGTTTAATTAATCAAAACATTATACATAGCCCACAAATTAATGAAGATTCTCCTTGGAACGTTCATTATACAATGGGCCTCAAAGCCACGGCACCCCCCCTCCCCCGCAGCAGTAGCGTGGTGGGCCCCCGTGTTAGATGCCCAACATTCTTGCCGTGGTGTCTTCTCATGGCAGTTTTCTCCTTCTCCTTTCCACCTTGTTCCTGTCAGTGTGTCTGCCTCTAACAATTGGCAGGGCCTGGAACACAGAGGAAGTTCACTTGTTAGCATTGGTTGTAAAGTAAAAGCAAAAATATACTTTGAGTAAAATCCCAAAAGACTTCCTACAAAGCAAATGTCCAGGCACTTGTATGGTATCTCTGCATCCCCTTCCTTCTGAATATATTCCAGAGAATTAAGGTTGCTGGAAAATGATATCTAGATTATCTGATGTATGTTATATAATTGTTACCAGATTATCACTATAAGTATTTTAAGGATTTTACTTACTGGTAAAAATAAACTTAATACATGTTATAAACTATAAGATGCTCTATTCCTTTATGTTCTTTAAGAAAAGCAACTAGAAGATCATTTATCTAAAGAATTGCAGTCCACCTTCTTCCGTCACAACTTACACAGGATAGAGGTTAATACTGTACAATAACAAAGATTCATATTTGTCCCTGAGATTCCCCCTTGCCAATTTCTCTCAAGGCCACCCTTCATTTCTGGAAATCTCATATTTGCAAAACAAAACTGGCTTCCCTTGAGCTGGCTCTCTCTGTACTTGGAAAGAATTACTTTTAGTTATTATGTTAAGTCTAAACTAATGTAAAGATTTGTGCTTGGCCTAGATATCGATTTAATAGTTTTTCTTTGCCACCAAGAATGGATCAGTGTCCTTCTAGCTATATTATCTACATATAAAATATTTTATTAGACCAGGGGTAGTGGCACACCCCTGTAATCGCAGTCCTCAAGAGACTGAAGCAGGAGGATCATTGCAAGTTCGAGACCAGCCTGGGCTACAAAGTGAACCCAACTGCAGCCTGAACTGCATAGTGAGACCCTATCTCAAAAAGACAAAAAAAATTTTGATGAAGTCTTATCTTATTTTATGTCTCATTCAAATATAGGGAAGTGCATTATTTAAGATGGTAGCTAATCCAAACTAAAAAACTGATTAAGACTTTTTGGTTTGTCTGGTTTTAGTTTCAACAATACCCTACCCAAATGATGAAAGGCCACTTTAATAGCATCTATAAAAGCCATTTTAAGATGCAGACTTCTAAAGCTTTTCTGCAAGTAAAAGACAACATATTATGACTTCTTTCTCTGAAAAGCTCATTTTTATTATAAAAATACAGAAAAGCAAGTCACTCCTACTTTTACCTCTCTACGTAAACCATCGGTAGTGGCGCTGTATATGTATTATGTAGTGCAGGGACTCCATATGCTTACTCATCTCTGTATTGGGATTTTACGGTAAACTCTTCCGCGTTGTTTGATGCAGATACGATTTTTCCCGTGGGAAGATTCGTGGAGGAGTTGACTATGTGTGCAAGTCTGCATAGCAGGACGTGTATCAAATTATTTCTTCTTTACAGACGCTGATTGAGATTTTCCAAAATATCGGTAACACCAACCTTGCAGATTTCATTGCTGGATTACTTACCATCGTCATCTGTATGGCAGTTAAGGAATTAAATGATCGATTTAAACACAAAATCCCAGTCCCTATTCCTATAGAAGTAATTGTGGTAAGTAGAATCCGTAGTTGGACGATTCAGGAAGAATAAAGTAGACAAGCAGGAATTATTAAACCAGTGGAGCTGGGTTGGGGGTGTGTGGCTCAGTTGTAGGGTGCTTGCCTACCTTTCATGAAGCACTAGTTTAATCCCCAACACCATAAATAAAGCACCAAAAAGCCCCAGTGGAGTTTATTTTATATATTCTTTATTTTATTCAGACAATAATTGCCACTGCCATTTCATATGGAGCCAACTTGGAAAAAAATTACAATGCTGGAATTGTTAAATCCATCCCAAGTGGGTGAGTATGGTGTTCCTCTTAATAATACTAATATATGAAGACAGTCCTTGCTGCCTAGTGGAATCTTTCATTATAAGCTTCACTTTACTAGGCTGTCAGTAGTCTCATCTGCATGTGACCCTAAGTGCCCATTTGTGCAAAGCATATTACAAACAGTATGTGTGTAGATAAAGTTCAAGCCAGTTGCTTAAAAGCAGCTCCTGTGAGCTCTAATTCAAACTCAAATGTATAATTATAATATACCATATATGCACCCGTGATTAGTAACACTTATTGCACCGTGAACAATCTGCTTAAGGAATCACAGGCATCTGGCCCAAATTCTTCAGCTTTTAGATGAAATAATAATGATGTCTTTTGTACCTGTATTTGCATTATCTGCAGTTTGGGGGTTTTCATATATTTAGTAGTTTGATGGATCAGAAGTACCAAAGACCAAGGTCCCATCTCTGTCAGTCTAACTGTGTGGTCCTGAGGAAATTCTCCTATAGCACAGAGGTAATGTAGCAGCCGAAATTTCAATTCAAGCTTGTGAACTGCCAGGGAGAGCCCTCATGCAATGCCCAGAGTGGAAAAGTGCCTTGCATTATAATGTCGTCATACGGGGTTAACAGGGAAGGTCACTGGTAAGATGAACTGATAGTCTTAGCGATGAGACTCACTCTTCACCAGGGCGTACTAGTTTTCTCTCCCTCCTACAGCGGAGGGACCAGTACTGGTCTTTGTTTTTCATGTTCTTAATAGAAATGTCTCAGGCAGCTCACTCCTAGTGCTCATTGCACAGGAGACCAACTACCTTCTATCTGATAAACCTTACAGTTCTAACATCAGTCCTAAAACATTTGAAAAACGACGGCCGGCTGCATGGTACTTAAGTTCCACACTACCATTTCTCAAGCTTATTTATTTTTATTTTTGCAAGAATTATGAGATCTAGGGGCTGGGGGTTTAGCTCAGCGGAATAAGCGCCTGCCTTGCAAGCAGGCAGTCGTGAGTTCGATCCCCGGTACCGATAAAAACGAAAAAGACCAAAAAAAAAAGAGGGGCGACTTAAGAATTATGAGATCAGGCCTGGGGATTTAGCTCAGCGGCATAAGCACCTGCCTTGCAAGCAGGCGGTCGTGAGTTCGATCCCTGGTACCGATAAAAAGGAAAAAGACAAAAAAAAAAAAAAAAAAAAAAAAAAGAATTATGAGATCTGTTTTAACCCAGTTTCCTAGATCCCACCCCAAACCTGTTCAGTCACCCTTTCCAGAGGGGCCTGGAGGTTATTTTCTGAAGTATCTTAAATGATTCTTCTAATCAAGTCAATTCTAAAAGCTATATTATACGATCAGCCTTTTGGTAGCGAATCATAAATCTGGGAGGAATTTAAAGATTAAAAAATGCTGTGTGACTACTTGAATTACGGTTTTCATCATAACAGAGTGAGTAGTTATAAACGGATACAGAAAAATGTATTTCATAGATCTCTTAGGCTTAGAATACATACTGAGTTAGAGGTGGCCTGCAGCGCGCGCCCTTCCTGTGAATCTACATCCCATTCATTTTTTTTTTTTTTTTTTATCGGTACTGGGGATCGAACTCACAACTGCAGGCGCTGGTGCCACTGAGCTAAATCCCTACCCCCCCTCATTCATTATTTTGGGGAACTCGCTTCTGCGGCCCTAAGTCGCCCTGCCTAGCCCTCTCCTCTTAAGAGCGGGTCTCTGGCCTCTCCCTTTCGGCTTTAATCTTGTTCCATCTCTGACAAACCACTTGGTTGCCTCAGTCAGCCGCTTCATCTGCCTGGCCTCGAGGACTGTAAACTCCTCTGCAAGAGCTGGCATCTGTTTTGTGTCGTGCAGCTCTGCCCCCCTAGCCTAGTACCTACCTCTCGGTCTGGCTCCCAGAAAATATTTGCTGAAGGGATAACACGTCCAAGCCTGTATCATTCTAAAGAAGCCACAAGAAAGGCCTTTGTTACCTGATCTCCCTTGGTGGCACAGAAAGAGCTCTAATGATAGTAACAGACCTGAGAAGGAGAAGGAAAGGGCGGTGTGGAGAGATTGGGGGACAGCAAGGCAGTACTCCTTGAAAGGAAGAGAAACAAAGGGAGGCAGTGACACGCCACCTCTTGATCCAGCTACTGCACCCCTCCATCAGGCTGCCGTTGGGAGCTTCCTTTCATCCTATTCGGGATCGGGACCATATGCACGGTCACCTGGTCCCCAGTGACAGCGTCTCCTTGGACAGTCAAAACCCATGACTCCACCTGCTGCTTTCTACTTCCTCCCTGGTAAAAATGTGCAGCCTCTTTCTGTTCCATCAGGGTGCTAGTATTCACTCAGCGAGGGAGCCCTCATTCTCTACCAGAGCCAGCCACAACCTGCCCTTCTCCTTGTGCAACTGATCCTTATCCTGCAGCTCTCAATGTGTCCAGTCCTCATTCAGCATGGCCTGGCTTCTCTTTTCCTCTTCTGTCATCATGGTTCTGTGTGTGTGTGTGTGTGTGTGTGTGTGTGTGTGTGTGCGCATGCACGTTCGCATGCACATTCGCATGCATCTGTTTAGCCCATAACAAGAAAGACTCTTCTGTCCTCTGAATTTGAGTTCCTGGGCTTTCTCATTGCTCAGCACACCAGTAACTGCTCTGCTCACAGAGCCACAGATCCTCTCTGCCTCTCTGTCGCTGTTTCCTACCCCTGCTGTTAAGTAACGGGGCTTTGCGGTTGTATTTGAAAGTGTAATGCCGGGAAGAAAAGCAGGATAGGATGTAGGGAAGGGGGAATCAACACAATCAGATCTTTTTCTTTTTCCCTTGGCTGCTTTTTCAAGGCTGCTTTCCCCTGTAGCTGGAGTAGTGACACATTTGCCAAATGTGCAGGCTGGCAGCCACTCTCCCTGTGGGCTCCTTGGTCTTTCGAGGCCCAGCCTTCCGCCTCTTCTTTTCAGCCACTGTCTCCCCTTCGGGCTCCTGGTAGTGTTTTCTCATGGTCATGTCACTGACCTGAAGCCAAGCAGGCCCACTGAGCATATGATTTGGAAAAAATTATGTCATGGAAAGAGGTCAGGCAGTGGAAGAAAGGCTTACCCTGAGGGGATTAGGAAGTGCTCCGCCAGGGCCTCCCTCGGTTGGCTTGGGGTGACTGTCTGACACCATTAAGGTGCAGCGGGACAGCACATGTGGTGGCAGGAGCATGGCAGATTTGGTTCTCGCGGCACAGGTGCAGCACCTGCTGTGTGTGCAGACACTGATTCCTTACACGTGTAATTACCTCACTTAGTTCTGTGAGAAGAGTACGTCGTCCCCATGTGGCAGCCAAGGACCTGAGACTCGGTAGGTTTAAACAACATGTCCACAGCATAAGGTACTCAGGGACTGATTCAGACCCTTTGATTTCAGGTCTTCACTGTTTGTACTTTGTGACTTGCATAATCACAGATTGGGCATGATTAGGGGAACTAAGCAATTAGGTGCGCGTTAGGGAACTGTCAAAACTAAGCCCTTGGAAGGACTGGAAAGCTATCTGACATCCCCAGTTATCTGAAGTAAGGTTAACTAGATCTTGGGGGAAGGGGCTGGGGATTTAGTTCAGCGGCATAAGCGCCCGCCTTGCAAGCAGACAGTCATGAGTTCGATCCCCGGTACCGATAAAAAGGAAAAAGACAAAAAAAAAGATCTTGGGGGAAAAAAGTCAAAGCCTGGTTCTAAGAAGTGAGGTCCAAGGTCATATCCAGACTAGCAGGTGATGGGATACTGAGTCCCTTGAGTGCTGGATAAATGTTCCCAGCATTCAGTCGGCCTCCAGATGGAATCCACTGTAGAGCTTGCATTTAGAGTAGGAAGGGATTTGGGGGGACAAGAAATCTGAAAATTACCATCCCACCTTGGGGAGAGAAAGCCCAAGAAAGACAGAATCAGACAGAACTAGAAAATCATCGAATATGTAACATTCATTTGTGGATCTACTAAATGGCCTCGCCTTTCTAAGTTTCTGTTCTTTTATTAGCAAAATGAAAGAAGTAGAGTCAATTCTAGGATGCTTGTTACCGGTTGTTCTAAATTTCTGTATGGTTTTCTCCAAGAATTTTAATTTCCATTTTAGACAGCCATAAATGAAGTAGGCGGAGGGTTTTGTTTTTTTTTTTAATATGACTGAGCACCTCTGGGATTGCACCATTTGAAAAGATACCAGGTTATAGTTTCGTGAAGGTTATTTCCAAATTTTCATAAACGTATAGGTTTATTTCTTTTTCTTTTAATTTGTTTCTGTTTGTTCATTTGTTTGAGACAGATCTCACTATGTAGTTCAGGCTGGCCTTGAACCTGCTTTATAGTTCAGGATGCTTTCGAACTCACGGCTATCCATCTATCTCTGTTTTTCAAGTGCCTGGCTTATTTCTTTAATAGTTTTCAGAGAAGCTTTGGTTTTGTCAAATGGTAATTAGCTGACCATACAACCAGGTTTTTTTTTTTGTTGTTGTTGTTTTTGTTTTTTGTTTTTTTTTGTCTTTTTCCTTTTTATCGGTACCAGGGATCAAACTCACGACTGCCTGCTTGCAAGGCAGGCACTTATGCTGCTGAGCTAAATCCCCAGCCCCACAACCAGGTTATTTTAATTACTGTGGAGCACTGTGCTAATGAAACAAATTTAAGCTTTTTTGACCTCAAGAAGATTTTAAATGTTACAGCTCTTCACTTTCCACTGAGCTCTTTTAGCCTTATTATATGGTCTCTGTGTCTTTAACAGAACTGACACGTTTTTATACAAAGTAAATCCTATATAATGGCTAGGTTATCTTTTATGTCCAAGTTCGAATGAAACTGTAAGGAGAAACCCTAGTGGGAAAGGTGGCATGGATGGAGTTGCCTTCCAGAATTAGTAACAACAGATTTATTCATATCAGAGGAATCACTAACTCCTGATCAGAGAAGATGCTACCATTCGGGCCTCTGACATACTTTCTGTTCCCTTGGATCATGTTCTTTTATCTCTAATATGTGGCTGAGTGGATATAGCGAAAAATAATCAAATCTTCACAGTGCTTTCCGTTTAAAAACTCTCCAGGTTTTTGCCTCCCGTGCTTCCACCGGTGTCTAAGTTTTCCGAGATGCTGACAGCATCCTTTTCCATTGCTGTGGTGGCTTACGCCATTGCAGTGTCTGTGGGGAAAGTGTACGCCACCAAGCACGATTACACCATCGATGGGAACCAGGTACGGTCATCCTTTTGCTGAACTGGTTTACAGGGCTGAAAACAACAACAACAAAAAACATAAATGGGAAAAATTTGGGGTGTCAGCTAAAGAAAGTGGTGACTGTTTAACTCCTTTGGGAAGGTACCTAGAAGGAGAACCGTCAGGTCCAATGGAATTTTAGCTTTTGGGAATCTCCTTGAAACACACATTTATCACAGGATCCTGAGATACTGTTTCCTGTTAATCTTAAAAACAGTTAACACCTGAGCATGATGGTGCATGTCTATAAATCCAGCACCCAGGAGGCTGAGGCAGGGGGATCATTGTGAGTTCAAGACCTGAGCTACAAATTGAGCTCAAGGCCAGCCTGAACTGAATAGTGAGACTGTTTCAAAAATGATAAAACAAAACAAAACATAACAAAACAGGAAAATTTGACAGCAATGAGGTTTCTCTTGGGTTCCATGAAGCCCAAACTCCTGATGTTTTATAAGATCCCCAATTACTTTTTACAGGAAAAATTAAGCTGGACCGTCAGGTGGGTGGGCTTGGAAGTTTTCTTGAACATACCTGTTTAAACACTGGTGAGAGGCTTGCAGAGATTCTGTTTGTCGCACTGTGGTCACCCAGTCTCTCCCCTAGGAATTCATTGCCTTTGGGATCAGCAACATCTTTTCTGGATTCTTCTCTTGTTTTGTGGCCACCACTGCCCTTTCCCGCACGGCTGTCCAGGAGAGCACTGGGGGAAAGACACAGGTATGGAATGACGGCTGGGTACCATCACACCAGGGATGGCGGCTCAGAAAGTCTTGCCCAGGATCCGAGAGAGACAACAGACCTTTGAGAAAAGAGAAGCCTTGTGCTTCCTCGTCTCACCCGACATGGGCCCTGCGCCTCTCTTTGACTCAGCCTTCTTCAAAAACCTCTGAAAAAGCAGCATGCGTGGTTCCCAGGTGGCAGTTCTCCGATCCCTTTGTGTCACTGCTCATTGGACAATTAACTCGTCACCTCCTGGCTGCTCCTTAGCGGTCAGAGCAAGCCAGGCTGCCCAGGCAACAGTAAAAGATGAAGAATGCTGATTTTTAGCAGTTTGCTCCCCCGGGGAGAAGGAAGCAAGTGCCCACTAACAGTGCTTGGAGGCTTTGTGAGTTCTGTTTTCAGGAAAGTGAGACAGTGACATTTCCTTTATGAGGATTAGCAACTGTCTCTAGGGGCCTTTGGTTCCATAGGACAACAGTTTACTCACCAAATTTTGTTCATATTGTAGCATTTTGGCATTTCTATCCGAGTAAGATTTTTGTTCTTGAACTTCTGAATGTGGGTTGACTCTTGCCTTTTAAAGGTGGTTTGTGATTGTTGTCTTTACAAGGTGACCATAAAACCAGCATACCATCCTATCTCTGGCATAATCCCTTGTGGAGCCCACCAGGGAGCCCCACAGTGGCTGTCCTTGTCTGCCTTTCCAGCTACACAGAGTCAGACGGCCCAAATCAGTGCCCCTGGGCTAACGACAGACTCAGGACTGTGTTCCTGATGTGCCCCCTGGGATTTTCCCTCCCAGCACAGAAACAAATATGAAGGTGTAAAACGCAAGCACTGGGACTATAAAGGAGAACGACAAACCCAAACTAAATAGTGTGAAGAAGCACAGCCTTCAACTCAGGTTTATGAAGCCAGAGACGCAAATAACTGAGAAAATGTATGACTCCAGTGCTGGGTTGGCCAGGGAAAGAGCGAGCTCAAATTGTCACCATGGTACAGCGATGTTCCCGTCCTATTTATAATGCATCTTGTGACAGATTTGGAAGAACTGGTCTCTTCTAATTGCTTGGCTTCTTCAAAACAAAAATTTATTATTAATTCTCAGAATTTTTCTTAAAAGTTTTATTCTGGGGGGGAGGCTGACATTTGTAGCTCTGAGGGAGGAAAGCAATGCAGTCCACCCCGGGAGACACGGAGATCTGTCGTCACGGGGAGGAGGTCAGTGCTGATTTCCAAAGCTGGCCCACGTCCGGCCGCAGCTGCCAGTCGCAGGCGGTCTTACTGCTGGAGTTGGCAGTGCAGACTCTCCAGGGTACAGCTGCTCAGTGGGTGCAGGAAGTCCCTCCCCAACTGCTGATGCTTCTTTTTCTGCTCTTCCCTCTGGACCCAAACAAGCTGGCTGCCCAGAGGAACCCGAGTAAAGTGACCCCTTGGCAAAGGCCTGGGGGATAATGGGGCTCTGGTAAGCTAATACCCTCCGCCACACACTGGTGTGTATTATGTGTAGGAATGAGGGATGACAGGATTTCAGCACTGAAGAAGGGGACAAGTGCAGAAACGGCTTGATCTTTAATTACTGAAATGCACACTGAGTTCTGGGGTGAAAAGTCTAAGTGCCCGGCCTGAAATCCAGGGTCTTGTGACCGAGGAGTTGGCAGGGCTGTTTGCTCTCCCTTTCCCTCCCCTTCTCTCTCTTTTTCCTCATCTTCCCTCTCTACCTCTTCTGCTACCTCCTCCTCTTCTTTCCTCCTTTTTCTCCTCTTCCTCTTTCTTCTCCTCCTCCTCCTTTTTCTGTCTCCATCTTTCTGTCTCTTGCTCTCTCTGTCTGTCTGCCTTTCCCCCTGACACCCTAGTACTGAAGACTGAACCCTCCTTTCCACTGAGGTACACCTCCATCCCTTTTTATGTTTTTATTCATTTATCTGAGACCAGTTTTACTAAGTTGCTTGATTGCCCAGGCTGGGCTCAAACTTGCGATCCTCCTGCCTCAGCCTCCAATGGTGCTGGAATTACTGACGTGTGCCACCATGCCCAGATTGTTATATGGCTTCTCGTGATTTTGTTCTTGTTTTGAGCCTCAATTTCAATGTTTATGAAGTGGGAATCAAAGCAGTGTCCTTCTCCTAGGTGTGTCACAGGATTAGATAAGCTGTGAAGCCCAGCACATACTGGCCAATGCGAGTTTTTACACTTTCAGGCAGGAAAGAAGCCTAGTGCCAATGGCATGTGTACTGTGCCTGGTATAAAATACCAGCACCCAGCATGTATTTGCTGAAGGAACAAACAACAACACGCACAGCAGGGGACGGTGACTGTGTTCAGCACACTGAGGGAGTGTGGAAGGGCTGCACGCTGCCACCTGTTCTTTCTCCTACCGCATCTGATTCCTACTGACTCATGGAAAAACTAATTCTGATTACAGAGCGCGCTGTAGCTCTGATTGGCTTCTCACTGAACAGGACAATTAGTTTGCTAATAATTGAATCTGCTTATAAAGTCTACAGACTTTCCAACAAGCCACTTTATATAGTAAGTACGAGTAATCTACCCTTCACAGATTTCAATAGTGATCACAATTAGCTGTGCCCAGATGATGGGCGGCTCCTTGTTACATGTACTCAGACAGGTAGCCATGCTCGCCTGAGCTGGGCACCTCACTGTGGTCCTGGGGCCCTGGTGTGCACATCCTTAACCAATTCACAGAGTCCTTTACCCCCAGAGCGCTGCAAGTACTCACTCAGTATTGGCTGCTCCAGAGGAAAGGGAGAGAGGAAAGAAAGAGGGATATTACCTTCTCTGCTTAGAAAGGGGAGGAGTAAACGCACCAAGGTGCTGGGAACCTGGAGGTGCAGCGCTAGGCACACACAGAGCCGGAAACCAGGTATTCAGAGTGAGCTTTTTAAAGTACATCATATACACAGTATGAGCTCCAGGCTGGGAATCTGAACAGAAATGATCCATTTGCCAGATGAAGTGTTTTTGTTGTTTGAGACAAGATCTTGCTATATGGTCCAGGCTGGACCCAAACTACTATGAAGCCTCAAATATGCTGCAGTCCTCCTGCCGTGGCTCCCCAGAGGGCTGGGGTTACTGGTGTGAACCATCTATCACACCTGCCGAAGTGAATGTTCTCTGATTTTCTTTTTGCATTTGCTGTGCCTGCCTCCTGTGACTCACGTGTCCTGCTCTAGCTGTACTTATGCTGAAGTTTCCTCTCTGACTGCTTTGCTTCTGGTTTCCTGTCTCCTCTTCTGTTTCAGAGCTTCTAGCCTTCCTTGGCCATGCCAACACTGTCTCAACAGGGATTCACTGATCATCTGCTCCAGCCAGATAATAGTCCCCACCCCCAGCCTCTCTCCAAACTATTTATGGATCTTGGCAGAGCTTTCTATGCCAATGAAGGTAACATTCCTGAGCTTCATTTACTCTGTCATTGCCCCATCACTGCTAGGAGCAAAGTCTGAAGCCAGCATCTATGCAACAAGAGTCTCTCAGTGCCATTTGGCACCGTGCATCTGCAGTAGGATGGGTTAAATCAATGTTCTGAGACTTTGCTGAGAATCATACACAGCAAGTATAATGAGTTATCATAGTTACTAGTGTGGCACCTGCTTCAGTAATGCAGAGGAGTTTAATATGTCCTGAGAAACTTCATTCCCCAAGAACGTATCAGTAATCTTTGTTGTTGAGGAAGGAGGTGGTCTATGTTTTATGGCTTGGCAAATAACTAAAAGGTCAGGCTCCTAAATGGACACCAAAACCACCTTTGTAAGATCTCCAAATGAGATCCATGTCACACTGACTTTACTGCGGCAGGCTGCCCTCCCTGTTCTCTTTCTCTGCAGTAGTGCATATATATATATATATTTCTCTGTATACGTGTGTTTTCCATTTTTGCTCAGTTTTGTGTTGTCTGACCAAGTAAGGCTCATGTCTCTGAATGAGGAGTGGGGCTGTCAGGGAGGGTTCAAGCATGCCTGTGATACATGCTGTAGGGAGAAGGATGAACCCTCTTCATGGAAGGTGTACGTGTTGCAGATCGCTGGCATCATTTCGGCTGGGATTGTGATGATCGCCATCGTTGCCCTGGGGAAGCTTCTGGAACCCTTGCAGAAGGTACAAATCTGCTTCTCCGTACAGTTGCATAAATTCTTTTCATCACATTGCTACCAGAGAAATAGCAGGGGTTTAAAAGTCATCACGTGGAAACCTATCTTCCTGAGTAACCCACCTCCTGGTCTCTCTTGGCAGTCCGTCTTGGCCGCAGTTGTAATTGCCAACCTGAAAGGGATGTTCATGCAGGTGTGCGATGTCCCTCGTCTGTGGCGGCAGAATAAGGTGGATTCTGTAAGTCGCTCACTGCCTGTTTTTGTCTGAACTAAGACTTGGCTTCTATATGCTTCTTGTCCTATCACAGTGTTCCCCTTTTTCCTATGTCTTCCCTGCACTTTGGAAATCCCAGAGTGAAAATTAGAATGGTGTGAATAAGCCATAAGTCTTGACGTGAAGACCCTGCGGGCCAGGAAGACCCAGTTTCTCTGGGAAGGCTCATTTCCAGAAGAATCCCATCTGAGGCTCATACACCCCCTCAGCCTTCTCCAGCCAAAAAACAAACACATTTTATTTAAAGCCTGGTTTAAAAGTACTAATAAAACACAAAACAAACAAAAACAAAACAATAAAACCCTTTTCTTTGTGACCAAAGTAGTCTTTACAACTCTTCAAAGGAATGGTAAAAACCAGAAGTCAAATCTTTTAGATTCCTACACTAATGGAGCCAAGGACACATGAAAAGAAAAAGCAAACTGCCTATCTATGGATTGGCAACTATCTCTAAGACAAAGTAGGTGAAAAAGAGTCCAGAATAGAAATACTAGGGGAAAGTCTGTGCTTTCACATACACACAGGAATACAAGTGGATGGGACTGTAAGGATTTGGGGAATGGGTGGAGACAGGAGAAGGTTATACACCTTTAAAATATATATATATTTTTTGTCTTTTTCCTTTTTATCCGTACCGGGGATTGAACTCACAACTGCCTGCTTACAAGGCAGGTGCTTATGCCGCTGAGCTAAATCCCCAGCCCCACCTTTAAAATATTAATTCGTGTTTGAGTCATGCGAACACTTTGCCTGTTCAAAATTTTAAAAATAAATAAAATGGAATAGTTGGCCTTAACTGGGAAGGTCAGTTGGCAGCTTTACTTCAACATGAAATGAATGAAACCAGAATATTATTTAAAGTTGAAATTTGTGGATAATCGATCTTATTTTTATAGGTACTCTATGATTTGCCAGTACCAGATAAATTAATATAGTTCTTTTCATTTCCGTTCCCCTCTTAGGTCATCTGGGTGTTTACATGCATCATGTCCATCATTTTGGGACTGGACCTGGGTCTGCTAGCTGGCCTTTTATTTGGATTATTGACTGTGGTCTTGAGAGTTCAGTTGTGAGTACAGATTTGCTATCAACAGGCCAGTGCACCCTGTGCCGTTTTGATAAATGTAGTGAAACCACTTCCTTTCCTAACTGTTACTACATATTAAGTGATTCTATAAAGAAGACACACAGTGCTTTGCATATATTATATTTAATCTTCAACAATATCCCACGAATACATTTGTACAGGTGCAAGTTTTGAGCTCAGAAAGGCTAAGGACTTGCCCTCAGGTTACACATTACTAAGGGTCAGAACTAGGATTCAAACTCAGATTATCTCATTTGAAATTTCTAGATTTCATCACATGCTGTACGGTTGTGCTCTCCCTTTAAGGCCTTGTTAGACTAAGAGACAAATGGCTCAGCCAGGCTGAAGTTGCTCTGTAGTTGGATGAAGGATGCTGGGCCTTGGGACAAGGCGACTGCTAAAGCTGTCACAACTCATTTTCCTCCTTTGAAGCTGATTCCCCACAGCCATTCCACCTACAGCAGGAGACCTTCAGAGCAGAGGATTATAATGAGCACTCATCCAAATCCCTCAAATAGGGAATATATCTTCCAAATCACACAATTATGTGAATAAATGTAATTAGTTCACATGCAAAGTGAAAGCAGCAGCCACATGAGTTAAATAATGGAAAACAATCTGAGGACTAGTGAGGGAGACTGAAGGTGAATTTTGTTGCTGGGTTTTTGTTTGTTTCTTTGTTTTATTTTGCCTTTTTTTGTGACAAGGTCTTGCTGTGAAGTTCAGGCTGGACTTTAGCTCACTTTGTAGCCCAGGCTGGTCTCAAACTTGCAACAATCTTCCTGTCTCACCTGCCGAGTGCTGAGATTACAGGTGTGCATCCCCGCGCTTGGCTGCTGTTGGTTTTGTTTTGACTCTGGAGACTTTGGTTTGGTGCACTCCTGAGTCTAGAGAGGAAGAGGGCACTAGAGGGGAACAGAGTCCTCCTCCCTCCCTAATTCATCTGCTATCTTTCTGGGCTTCTGGCCACGTCTCCGCTCGAGCTTGGGCCATCGTGGAAGAAGGCACCTGTAAAGCATCAGTACCATGTCTTTGGCCTACGCGGGCCCCCCTCTCCATTCCAGCAGCCGCCTCCCCTTCATGCTTTCTTCCCCGCTGTACTTGCACCCTGTTCTGCCCCAAAGGCCCAACTTCCAGAGTCCTGAAAGTTCATGAACTCCCGAAGGGCCCAGTTTGCTGCTAGGAAATAACGCAGAAACTTTCCTGTGACTTTTTTTTTCTTTGGAGAGAAAGACTGACTTATGAGCTTTAAGTTAAAAATCAGCCCACCGCAGCAAGCCAGGGAAAAACTGGTGGTGCATTTTTTTGCTGCTGGTTCGGTAGCCAGGCCTTTAGCCAACAGAAAGCAGTACCCTGTGCGGTGTTTAGTTTCCTGTCGTTACAGTGCTGATCCAGAGAGCTCGGTGCTGAAAGCACCCCAGACAGACAGTCTTTCTTCAGGAGCTGCACTTAGCATGTGTCCCCAGTCACGCCTGAAGAAACATGGAATTTATCTGATTGCATCAGGAACAGGAAATCAACAGTCTGGTTGACAGGACAGGCTTATTTCTGGTCCTCCCAGGCTGCTAGTTCTATAAAAAGAGACTAATTTGATCATCTGCAGACTCTCCACACTGCATCGGGAAGTTGCCATAAGTTACAAGTAAGCGCCAGGCACTGAGTCCCTCTTCAGAGGCTGCTCTATCCCTTGTCTCAGGGCCCTTTCTAAGCTTCTCTGAACCTCAGTTTACTTACCAGTGAAAGTAAGGATAACAAACTGCCTTTTGGAGGTTATAGTCGGATCTCGATGAGAGTTAATATACGAAAAGCTCTTTGCTTATTCTCCAAATTGTTTTGTGCATGAAATCCTGGTGCTCATTATTTCTCTCAGCCATCAGGACACAGTCACTGTCACTTCCTCCTTCTCTGGTTCCACGCAAACACCGGCTGTTCACTGCAGAGTCGGTTGCAGGAAAATGTCATCTGCTGTACTGATTGATTCCCGATCAGCAGAATGACAGCTGCATAGCAACTAGTTCTTTTTTTTTATGTCTTTTTCATTTTTATCCGTACCGGGGATCGAACTCACGACCGCCTGCTTGCAAGGCAGGTGCTCATGCCGCTGAGCTAAATCCCCAGCCCCGCAACTAGTTCTTTTTAATCCTCCCTCCCACCCCTGTGCTGGGGATCAAACCCAGGGCCCCACACATGCTAGGCAGACACTGTACCTCTGAGCTACATCCTCAGCACTCCGCCCCTTTTGGTGACAGCTAAATTGCTCAGGTTGACTTGGAACTTGTGATCCTCCTGCCTCAGCCTCCCAAGTGACTGTGCTTATAGGCATGTGCCCCACTGTGCCTGGCTATTTTAACTTTTTTGTCCAAAATCTGGCTGTTTCAAAAAAATTCTGATGTTGTTTTCTTTTTCTAGTCCTTCATGGAATGACCTTGGAAACATCCCCACCACAGACATCTACAAAAGTATCAAGAATTATAAAAATGTAAGTGCCTTTTTGCAGAAAGAAGGTCTGTTCATCTACAATTTTAGGAGCCTCCTATTCCTCTTTTAGGACTAGGTAGGCATAAGACTGCCACAGATGGAGAAAGTCCCAGTGATGGCCCACTGACAGTGTCACAAGAACCTTGGACTCTGTATCTTCTGACAGACTTGGATGTTAGGGATCTCATCAATGCTAGCAGGATGTCACGTTAATATAAAAACCATTATAAGAGGTATTTAAAAACAATAGCCAGTTATTTCCAGGTGTTCACAAATATTTTCTCTGCTGTAATCCTTAGCCTCTATGAAGTTGCCTGAAATCCCCCTAAGATGTTATTTATCCAATTCTAACAAGAAATTTTCCAAGTTATCTGTCACCAAGTTATTTGATATTTTGCTTTATCTTTGAAATTGAGAGAAATAATATATGACACAGGAAATAAAAACAAAGAAGTTAAACATCTCACTGGTGGGCTGGTGTTGCCTGCACATAAAATTTTTAGTGATCACTAAGGAAACAAAGATGAAAAGGCAGACAAAGTAACTTTGGAAAACACATACTTACGAAAGACACATAGTAAATATATATATATATATATATATATATATATATATATATGAACCCTAGAAACTTGTAGTCTAATTTTACTTTAATATTAAATTCTTATTGGACACCAAATCTGAAATTCAAGCTGTTACTGAATTTATTTCCACAGTCTTTTTTTTTTTTTTTTTATTGGTACCAGGGATCGAACTCACGACTGCCTGCTTGCAAGGCAGGCGCTTATGCTGCTGAGCTAAATCCCCAGCCCCTCCACAGTCTTTTTGTTATGTTGAACCACAGGCTAAACACAGCTAAAGTAATTGTGGAAAAGCTTTTGGCACTGAGACAGGAAACTCTGGGCTGATTTGGGGGGTTCTGAATTCTCATTTCCCTCTTGGGAAGACTTTGTCAGGGACACTGAGTCTCCCCCAGCCTCAGCTCTCTCCCCCAAGGCTGACATTAAAACGGCGACGATTCCTAAAGACCAAAAAGTCCGTGATTCTATGGGCTCCACTTACAGCATGGCCCCTGCCTCTGAGTATAAACAAGCAGATGACAGTTCCTGCAAACCTTCAGAATTTGCTTTTTAAAAATTTTTGCTACTCAAAAGAATTTTAGCAAGATCCGGAAGCTCAGTGGTACAAACTGGAGAAAATCATGTCACTGTGTTAAGCCTCAGTTTTTCCACCAGGAAATCAAAGGGCTGAAAATTATGTTCTAAGGCTGTGGAATTTTGGCAACAAGGGAAGTTGAGTGTTGCTGTTGTCACCCAGCTCCTTGTAAAACAGCTATTTCATTGAATATCTAGGTCTAGAATTAACTTCTTTTTTTTTCTTTTTAAATGTCAGATTGATGAACTTCAAGGAGTGAAGATTGTCAGATTTTCTGGTCCTATTTTTTATGGCAATGTTGATGGTTTTAAAAAATGTATCAAGTCCACAGTAAGTATTTTATCCCCAGAAATTTGGTTTTTAACTTGAGATCTCACTCTCTTCTTTATTGGGCTTCACCTGGGAACAAGACGCTGTGCTCTATTCCTCTTTGCCTAGAGCATGCAGAGTTAAATTGTAACATCCTTTCCCTTAAAGAATTTACCGTTCGGGGATAGAGTTGCAATATGCTATAGATTTTAACCTAGATAGTACTAAATGCCAGACAAAAACGCTAAGTGTCCAGATTGACTTCAACTCCCAAATGCTGTGCTAACTTCCCAGTGCTATGTGCGCTGAGCGTCGGCCCACAGTGGCCACAGCATCAGACAGATGACCAGAGACAGACAGGTGACCTGCAGTGCAACATGGAGAGCGCAGGTCCCTTCCCGAAGCCTCGCAGTGTAAAACGATGTCACTGTTCAAAGTATTTTCTTTCTTTCTTTTCTTTCTTTCTCTTTCTCTCTCTCTCTCTTTCTCTTTCTTTTCTTTGTTTCTGTTTCTTTTTGAGACAGGGTCTCTCTATGCAGTTCAGGCTGGCCTTGAGCTCACTTTGTAGCCCAGGATGGCCTTGAACTTGCAACAATCCTCCTGCCCCAGCCTCCCCAGTGCTGGGATTATGTTCTATGTATTTTCATTTGAAAAACAGTTGTGTTCACACACAGACACACACAAATCCTGAAAAACAAAACACCAAACGAGCGTATTTTTGCTAACATGCATGAGGTCTACTGTGGTTATTTTAAATGAACACTTCTAAATGCACCAGTGGGAGAGGTCCACTGTAGCAGGCTGGACACACGGGATTCTACTGGGAGTTTGGGACCTGTGAGAGCTGGGGGTGGGGGAGGCGGGACAAAGTCTTGGAGGAGCCGCCCCTGTTTGGAGCAAGTAAACAGCACTGATGTTAGTAGGTCGGTCTCGCCCTGAATGTCACCGACCTTTCGAACTTGGATCGGTGTTTTCTTAAGCGAGGTCCAGGGCAAACTGGTTCAGAGGAATGTTTATAGATTTTGCAATAACAGAAGGGCCCTGCGTGTCAAGGAAATTTGGAAAACAGACTTAAAGATAAGCGTTGTTTTTGCTGTTTTGTCTTGCACCGTCTTGGTGCTTTTACTATGCTCTTGTCTTTCCTGAGGCTCTAGCAGTGCAGAGGAGTCTACCATCCGATCAGACCTCAAAATCTTTTCCAACGGGCGTCTCAAGGAATATTATACACTGAGAAATAAGCCTTCAGATATCAGTTGGCACAAGTGAACAGTAGGAAGCAGACGTTTAATTAATCTGACATTTGTTTCCAAAGGTTGGATTTGATGCCATTAGAGTATATAACAAAAGGCTGAAAGCACTGAGGAGAATTCAGAAACTCATCAAAAAAGGACAATTAAAGGCAACAAAGGTGAGGTGGACCCCCCTCCCCAATTCTTTCTCTGATGAAAAACAGATGCAGTCTAAATTAAATCTACTCCTTTGGTACCCGGATGTGTACCAGCAGATGACGTAAGCATGTCAGAGAATGGCTGAGCTGTTTCCGATAAAGTGAAATCAGCACCGCACCCTGAAAACAAGCTGTGAATTTCCCCCCATAATGAATAGCATCTGCATTTTATTTTTAAACCTCATTTTTACTGGAAGAAACAAAGTAATTACAAATTCAATGCCAGAAATTAGAATGCAAGGCAGTAGGTCCATTCACCTTTATGAAGATTGTCCCACCAACAGAATACCTGTTGGCGGATTTCCACAATCTTCTAGGTTTCCTCTTAACCCATTTCTCTTCCTAGAGAAGTTTGGGCAAAGGTAAAACCCAGTTGTGTGTGTGTGTGTGTGTGTGTGTATGTGTGTGTATGTGTTAGAATCAGACCCAAGGCCTCACACATGCTAGGCAAGCACTCCACCACGGACATCTCTAATCCTTCCTTTTATTTTGAGATGGTCTCACTAAGGCTGCCTAGAAACTGCTGTCCTCTTGCCTCAGCCTCCTGGGTAGCTAGAATTACAGGGTCCACCAGGTCTGATGAAATCTCACTCCTTAAGCATTCATCCCGATGGTATTTTTGCTTACCAAGAAACAACAGCTGTAGGATTTTTAAATAATTGGAGATAAACGGCCAAAAGACCACAGGCAATTGAGTCGGCAGTGTTTTCTTTCTTCAGAATGGCATCATAAGTGATGGTGGTTCAATGAATAATGCTTTTGAGGCTGATGAAGACATTGAAGATCCAAATGAACCTGATGTCCCAACCAAAGAAATTGAGTTTCAAGTGGACTGGAACGCTGAGCTTCCGGTCAAAGTGAATGTTCCCAGAGTGCCCATCCATAGCCTCGTGCTTGACTGCGCAGCTGTATCTTTCCTGGATGTTGTTGGAGTGAGGTCTCTGCGCATGGTAAGCGGCTGGCTTTGTGAACTACAGAACTGGCCCTGCGGCGGTAGTGAGGGGATACAGGTTGCCTGGTTTTGCAGAGGGACGATGCGTGGGCCGTGCAGCCAGGCTGAGGCGATTCCTGGCTCTGCTGCGTACTAGCAGGGAACGAGTTGCTAAGACTGTCTGTGCCTCAGTTTCATTTGTAACAGAGATAATGGTGGCATTTATTTCACAGAGGTGTTACGGAGACTAAGCTGATAGATATAAGGAGTTTAGAAGAGTATCTGATACATAAATACTCTCAAGAAATATTAACATTGTATTTTATTTTCTGAGAAAGTAAATAGAATATGAAAAAGAAAAATGGCAAAATTTTATGCAAAGTGTTTTTTTCAGTTTATTATGAGAACAGGAGCAGGATAAGAAACACCAAGAACGTGGTAGGACCGGGAAAGCCAGAGATTATTAAGAGAGTAGAGCTGGCTGTTGGTCAGTCATCTAGGAAGTCAAAGCAAGAGTTGAGGACACAGAGTGGAGACACTGATGATGTCAGAAAGCATGTATGTTACCCCATTTCATTATTCCTTCAACAAACAAGTTAAATGCCTAAAATGTGCTAAGTGCTCTGCCAGGCACAGGAGACTGATGAGTAAGTGGCCATGGTTTCTATCCTCATGAGACTAAGCAGTCTACAAGGGAAGGCAAACATTAAGACTCTCACAAATAGGGGCTGGGATTTAGCTCAGCGGCATAAGCGCCTGCCTTACAAGCAGGCAGTTGTGAGTTCGATCCCCGGTACCGATAAAAAAGGAAAAAGACAAAAAAAAAAAAAGACTCTCACAAATAACAGCGTGCCAAGTGCTTCGAAGCCGATTGTAAGTAGGATGCCACCTCATGCATGAGGTTTAGGTGAAGCTTCAGGTAGGTATCAAGAGAGTTAGCAGAAAAGTACGCCAAGGTGCCAACTATCAGAGGTAATAATGTGAAACACACTTCTGAGGTTTAGCCTCACTGGGGGCTTTTTGGCCATCTCTGCAAGAGTAGGAAACAGTGGCAGATGTGGGTATTTACACCTTGGCAAGAGTGCAAGAATATGCAGGCAGGGCTCTGTTCTCTCTCAGATCTGGTTATCAACTCATTTCAGAACACACTCTTGTCCTCTGCTGTTCATTTCCCTCTTGAGATTGGCTCCCACCCATTGTAGACTGTATCAGTCAAAATGCTTAGCAAGTTACTTGAACAGAGTGTCTTAACATGTTTAATGCCAGAACATTTTCCACACTGTCCATAGTTACTTTCAAATATTCTTTTTTTTTTTTTTTTGTCTTTTTCCTTTTTATCGGTACCAGGGATCGAACTCATGACTGCCTGCTTGCAAGGCAGGTGCTTACGCCACTGAGCTAAATCCCCAGCCCCTACTTTCAAATATTCTAATGACCCTTATTTATTATAATCCATAGGTCCAGTGTCCTTTTTAAAAACTACACTTTAATGATCATTAAAATGAATTACCTGTAGTTGTAAGAAATGTTAGATTCTATGTACTCTGGTCCCAGTTTCTCCCATAGTGGCATCTTACAAAACTATTGCACAAAATTATAATCAGGGTACTGACATTGATACATTCGCAATAGAGACCTCAATGTTTAGGTCAGATTTTATATTCTGAATGTGGTGGTCATATCCACACCTGTCTGTCTTCCTCTCAGATGTGAACTTAGGCTTTCTGCTCTGATCAGCAGGAGCTGTATTAGGAAGCTTCTACATTTTTCTTCTTCCTTCCACAAATATTTACTGAGCATCTCTGTTTTAGAGTGCTGTGCTGGTGACCACTGGATATTGTTCTCTTGTCTTTTCATCTTTAAGTAGATCACTATAAGTTGAAAAACTATACCTTTTCCAGTAGTGAGCTTTTCTCAGCCTTAATTAACCATGAAAATATTGACATTTCTCCTGAGCAAGTAAGTGCATATGACTGAATTATGGGCACAGAAAGTGACTTCTTGTACTTTCTCCTTTTGTATTTTTAGATCGTTAAAGAATTCCAAAGAATTGATGTGAATGTGTACTTTGCATCCCTTCAAGGTAAATGGATGCATATGTTTCTCTTTCTCCAAAGCCTTTTGTTTTTGTATTGTGGTAAATAATATATAAGAAAACTTGCCATTTAAGTTACTTTTAAGTGTAACATTATTTCAGTAGCAATAGTTATAGTTACGCTTATTATCTATTTCCAAAACTTTTCATCCCATCAGATAAAAACTATACCAGTTAAAAAATAACAGGGCATTTTTGAACCCAGAAAGATGTTACTTCCAATTTGTGCTGTACAGCTGGTTATGTATGGAAATGTACAATCTTATTGTGGTACAGGATCAGAGGGAGGGGGTCATTATGGGGAGAGCAGAGCTGGAGAAGACTTAGATCCACTGCCATGAGCGGACTGACGAGGGCATGCGTCTTTGTGTCTGGCTGTATACGCGCGGAGGAAAGTGCTAGTGCTTGTGTTGAGTCCCCTAGAAGCAGAGCCTGAAATGGGGATTCTTACACAAATGATTAAAGGACTCAGAAGCAGGATATGGCGAGGAGAAGCTGACTGAAGACATTGTTGCACAAGTGTTGCCCTAGATTTCTGACTACACAAGGAGCTCCAAAGCAGGAGGAGCACCATAGGGTTATGCTCTCTTAAGCGAAGAGCTCTGCCTTTGTACCTGAAGTACTGTCAGTCAGTGCATGCAGGCTGCCTAAGAATGGGCTGGAATCCCAGGCCTCTGCAGGTGAGACTGGTCAGGAAAATTCTCCAGAGAAGTGCACAACTGTGAACTACTGGCCACCAGGCTCACTGTTCCTGGGGGATGGGTACATTCACTGGGCAAAAGGGACATGACTAGGCACCAGGGACACCCAGCAAGCAGGCAGGAGATAACTGTTCTGTGTGTTCCTGGAAAAGAAAGTCAGTTTAGTTCAGGGTCACATTTTGGAAATGGAGAGATAGGTGTTTACAAAACTTAGTAATCGGTTTATGTTACAAAAATAATTTTTCCTAGAGCTAAGCATTACCTATTTGTTTTGCAGATCATGTTATCAAGCAGATGGAGCAATGTGGTTTCTTTGATGATAACAATAGAAAAGACACATTATTTTTGACCGTTCATGATGTCATAGTTTATCTACAGAACCAGGTTAAAACCCAAGAAGGTCAAGATTCCATTTTAGAAATGGTAAATATTTAACTTTGCTACATCTGTGTCTTTCTGGACTATCAGGATTTCTATAAATGGCAGAAGTTACTTTGGCTTTTAAGGTTGTGCGCATAACCTCTCAGAGGCTCAGTGTTTCATCAAAGGAATGGGAGTAAAAACGTTTAATTTGCTGGGGAGATGTGAGGATTAAATGACACAGGCTTTAGGAAAGTACCTGGTCGTATCTATACACAGTAATTTTACAGTGTGGGGGTTAACTAATAAAAATGAGCATTAGCTAAAATGTCATTTAGTTTTTTTTAGTTTTTGTTAGTACATGTAGGCAGTACATAATAACATTCCTTGTGTGGAGCTGGTGTGGACATAACACATCTCGATTTTTCATCCCGTTTCTCTCCCTTCTATTTCCTCTTCTTCCATCTCTTGACCCCTTCCCATTTGGAAAAGATCAATAGCCTATTTCTTATTGTCTTTTATAATGTGTTTGTCTGATTATCCTTATATTTGATTATCTTTATTTACATTTTGGGTTTTTCACATAAGAGAAAGAGGTTAAAGCCCACATAAGAGAACTAAGTTAAGTTTGTGTGTTTTATTTATTTCAGTTAACATTGTGGTCTCAAACTACATCCATTTTCCTATACGTGACTCAAGTTTATCTGTCTATATGTTCTCTATAGTATTCCATTGTGTATAAATACCGTTTCTTTATCCATTCATCTGTTAATGGATATAAAGGGTGCTTTCAAGACTTGGCTATTATGAATTATGCAGCTATAAACAGAAAAATGCAAGCATCACTGTACCTAGAAGGCAAATAGTTGGGTCAAATGGACTTTCCAGCTTTAGTTTTTTGGAGGAATGTCCATACTGATTTCCATAGTGGTTGTGCTAGTTTACATTCCACCACTGTGTAGAAAGGTTCCTTTTCCCCCACAATCTCACCGGCATTTGTTATTATCAGATTCTTGATGAAGGCTGTTCTTTCTGTAGTAAAATGGAACTCAGTGTTGTTTTAATTTACATCTCTTTAATGGCAAATTAAAAGTGTTAAGCACTTTTTCATGTATTTATTGACCATTTGTACATCTCCTTCTGAGAAGTATCTGTTCATTTCAGTTTCCCATTTTTGACTGGGTCTTCTATTTTGGAGGGGTCTAATTTTGAGTTCTTCACATATTCTAGATATTAATTCTCTGTCTGAGAAGAGCTGGCAAAAAGTTTTTTCATTCTGTAAGTTCTCTCTTCAATCTGTTGGTTGTTTTCTTTGCTGTACAGAAGCTTTTTAATTTGATATGATTCCATTTGTTGATTCTTGATGTTATTTCTTGTAGAACTGGGATTCTGTTCAGAAAGTCCCTTCCTATGCCTATGTCTTCAAGTGTTTTGCTTATTTTATCTTCTAGCAGATTGCTTCTGTTTTAACATTGAGATTCTGATCCATTTTGATTTTAGTTTGGTACATAATGAGATACATGGGTGTAGATTCAATCTTCTGCATATTGTTAGCCAGTTTTCCCAGCAGCATTTATTGAAGTGGGCATCTTAACTCCAGTGTACGTCTTTGGCCCTTTTGTCAACGTTCAGATAGCTGAATGATCTTAAGGTTATCTCTGCATCCTTTATTCTGTTTCACTGATCCATGTGTCTGGTTTTGGGTCAGGCCTATGCTGTTTTTATCACTGTAGCTTTGTTATAATGCTAATTTAGAAGATAGCATCTTCTGTGATTTGTGTACGTAAATGCAACAGAAATTTCAGCCATCTGGAATCCCCTGAATTACATATAAATGTCTTTAAATAGAATTCATCAAGCATAAGTGGTCTTAGAAAAAAATAATTAAAACCATAAAGCCAGGGTTCATTTTCTCTCTCAAAATATAATAGGCCCTAAACTCCTCTAGGTTTGTCAGTTCTCCTGTCAAATTTTCTAAAGAGGTAAACATTTCGGATAGGTTCATTGCTTAGGTCTCCTGGCAGGCACGGAACAATAACCTTATTTGTCATGTAACCTGTCACAGCGAATTGGGCACACTAAAACAAATGCCTACAAAAACTAAATCTAGTGACATACAAGCATTAAACTGCTTCTTTCTTTTCTAAACTTGGGATAAACGTTTTTATTGCAGGAAGTCAACATCTAAAGTAAAACTAATTTAGAAAATAATATTACATTATATTTTTCAGCTTCTGTTGGTGGAGAGGTTGATCTGCTTCTAACGTTGCTGGGGGCAAAAAGTAGTAAAACCACAAATATAAAACCAGCTACATGGAAACCACCATTCTTTGAAAACTCATAAACCTTTTTCTATCCAACTTGAAATCCTCTAGCACATAGGTAAAAACAAAGCAAACTAAAGGAATATAATTAATTTCTATCAAATTCAAGATCACATATTTTAAAAAGATCCTACGTTAAATATAAAATACCAGTGTGTCAAATTCCCTCTCAACATGAAAATAGTTACTTTTGTTTTTACCAGTCATTCTGAACTAAAATCTTAGCCCATAGATGTGACAGAACCCACTGGCTAAAAGTCCACCTCACATGTTAGATACCATCTTGTTTGTCACTAGGGAGGGTTGTGAGTGGCTGGGGTGGAACTTAGGTTTGCTTGTTTTGTTTTCATTCCTTAGTATGTGATGCTGAATATAACTGGATTCTTATATTTTATACTTTCTGGCCCACTGAAGAGTAAACTGATCATTACTGATGGTCTGTGGGATCAAACCTGACACTTCTGTGCCGCTTCAGGATCTAGCACAAACCTTCTACAGGGTCGAGTTATGCAAGGGCACCCTCTCCTGGGGTACTTCCCTTTTCTTTAGGAAGAGTCACTTATGCACTAAGAACACTGGAGATGCAGTGATATGACTGACCCTTTATTTTGACATGACAAGGGCCATTCCAGCTTCGGATTACACCTAGGTCCACATTTTCATAGGAACTTAATCTTTTATTAATCTCCATACTAACCAAAAGAACTGGGTTATTTCTAGCATAAAGAAACAGCAGAATACTACCCTGAATCATTTACTGCTGTGCATTGTATACTGCAGTATATGTATGGAGTTGCTTTGGAAATTTTCTTTTTCATGCGTGAGACAAAGGCCTAATTGTTGATCTCCTACGTAGAAGATTAAATCTCATAGTACTCCTTAAAAGCTAAGCTTTCTCAAACCAGCTTGGTCTATAGACATTGTTTTCTATTTCCAATAAAACTGATCTCCATCCAGTTCAACTTGAGGCTGTTTACTGTCCTCAGTCATAAACCTTCACTGCACATTCACTGCATGCTCAGTGCTGTATGAGGTGTTCTCAGTCCAGCCACTGAAAGAGCAATACTACTTAGGTCCCACCATTTAGGCAGAGGGAGGTCCCTTGCTGAAAGACGCACATGTCAGCCGTTGGGGCAGACAGTGGAATAGACAACAGCAAACTGTAGTGGCAAACTGTAGTGGTTCACACTTGTGTGTGAAAACTGATATAGGGAAATTCTAAGTTGGGAAATATAAAAGAATAAGAAAGCGAAGAGGGTTCTGAAGTCTGCAGATCACAGAAGCACCGGCAAAGCTTTGAATCATATTTAGTGAAGTACCAGTAGACTGATGCTGTTGCATTTCTAATAATTATTGCGTGTTCTCTTCCTCAAGATCACCCTCATTCAAGAAAGCAAAGATCCTCTTGAATTAATGGAAGAAAAGATAACTCAGGAAGAACTTGATGTCCAGGAGGAGGTATAATCATTATTTTCTCCTCAAGAAAATAATGTGGGTTAAATCTTGAGTAAATGGAGTAATACAGTTAGAGAATATGTATCATTAAGAACGGTAAAGAGAAAATAGTTCCAAAAAATATGAAAAGGATGGCTTCACGGAGGAGAAAGTGGAAAAGGAGTTCTCTCTTGAAGACATTAAGGTTTAGGGGACTTCTGTCTCAGCGTACGGAGATGACAGTGACGGGCAGCAGCCAGAATAGTACATCTTTAATCAGCCACCAGGAGGATCACCATGAGTTGGAGGCCAGCCTGGGCTACACAGTGAGTTCAAGGCCAGCCTAGACTACAGAGTGAGACCTTGTCTCAAAAAACCAGAAAAGGAAAAAAGAAAGTGGAAAGATTTCTTAGAAATTAAGCAGTGCCACACCCTAACCTATGCAGAAACCCCTCCCACACAGTGACAGATATTCACTTAGATTTTGGGTGAAGATTTGCAGACACTGGCAACTAGGGACTTCTCATATAAATTCTGTAGTCTTTCACCCAGATGCAATATTACATACATTTTTTGATGCAGCTTGCTGGCTTCAGCTTATCGACATATTTTATATTCCGAAGCTGTCATCTACCATATTTACTTCCCAACCCAACCTGTGTCATAGGCAAATCTGAAAAGCATCCCTACTGTGCCTTTGTACAGGTCCTGATACAAAAGGTAAAAGAATAACTTTTAAATTTCTACATTAAAATGAGGCAGCAGGAGCAACATGCAGAGAATGCTGCAGGGCTTCTAGAGGCAGTGAAGGAGTACAGCACGGTGGTTTCATGAACTTTGCAGCCAAACAGACCTGGCAACTGGGCCTGATTCTGCTACTTACTGGCTGCACAACACAGAGCGAATTACTTACCTTTTCTTCATTTTAGTGTCTGGATTTAAAATGGAAGTAATATCACTGAGTTGTAAAAATTAAGGATTGCACATAAAATAACAAGAACAGTGTCTTTTATGTGGTAAAAGCTCAATGAACAGTGATTTATTGCTTTTATGTAGATCCAATTAAAGTGTGATGAGGGTCAAAATTAAGTTAAGTTCTGCTTTTATTGTGCTGATCTGTATCTAAGATGAGTGAAAGCAAGAAATCAGTATTATCGAGCACTGAGAAAAGGCAGACCTAAGGAGACGTGAGTGGCACTGATGCTTTTTCCCCTTTATTCCCACAGGCTATGCGTAGTCTGGCTTCCTGAAAGTGCACTCAGACCGATGCAAGCAAGGATTGCAAGATGAAATTCACCCGCTGACGACACTCTGTGCAAACATTTTCTGCATTGATTATTTCTGTGGACTTGAAATGCTCAATGTTTTTTCTATTTCATTTGAAAATCTTTGAGTTTTATGTGTCTTAGCCAGTGAACAAAAAAGCATTAAGATTATTTTCATGCTTTATTTATAAAATCAATAGCTTACCTCTAAAGCATGTAGAATGGTGATGAGAGTTACCCAGGCAAATTAGCAATGTCCAGGATCTTATTCTGATGTTATGATATGCTGCTGGTCCCCCAAAGGCAGATTTGCTGTCTTCACCAGGGTACTGGGGTATCTCTGTTTAGTTGGAAGAAGCATTGACCTGACAGTCTCTGAGGACAGGTGAGCCAGGAAGGGTTTATCACAGGAAAAATCAGCTTCTGACCGACCTTGATATCCATGAGCCACACTATCACAGTGGGTGGCCACATTTAGTGAATGCTGAAGTACTGTTATTAATGCACTTACCAATACAAGCCTTAAGTCACTTTTGGTTTAAAAAAAAAAAAGCCAGTTTTAAGAATGTAAGTTTAGTTAACACTTAATAATGAAGTGTTGAGCCACACAAGGAAGCAGAGGCCTGTAATTTCAATACTCTGGGAGGCTGAAGCAGGAGGATCTCAAGCTGAAGGTCAGCCTAGGCAAATCAGTGAGTTAGTGAGACCTGTCTCAAAATAATGAACTGCTGTTGTACGTGACCAGATCAGGGTCTCTTATACTGGACCCAGGACCTTCTCAGTGAGTTACAGCCCCACCTCTTTCCTTTTTTCCTCTGGGCTGATGTATTTTTTAAAAACATGGATGCAGACAAGGGAGGCAGATAAGGAGAATTGCAGAGTTTATAGAAATAACTTGTCAATATGATAATCATGGATCACAATCAATACATACGACAGACTAGCTTAGAGATACAGTTTAAATTTATCTTGCTCTATAAAGATGATTCGGTTAAAAATTATTTATCTTACATACTCCTAAATGTTTAGCAGTATGTAAGATAAATAACTTTTAACTGAATTGTCTATAGTAGTCAATATTTAAAATAAGCTTTTAAAGACAAAGCATTCTAAATGAACTTAATATCAAGAGAAAAATTTGGCTTGGAATTTACACACTGGAAATATATACTTATAATAATCATATTTTAAGCAAGAAAATTTAACATTATACCTTATCTTTAATCTTTTCTGAGTACCAACCATTTCTAGGTATTTTGTCACACATATGCTTTGGTCTTGTGCACTATTCCCATATATTTTATGTTAATTTGTACTTCACTACCAGAGGAAAATAAGTGCCCAGGTCTTTAGCTGAGACAGTGCCTTGCTTTATTGAGAATTGTACATTTCTTTTTTTTTTTTTCTTTTTGTCTTTTTCATTTTTATCGGTACCGGGGATCGAACTCACGACTGCCTGCTTGCAAGGCAAGCGCTTATGTCGCTAAGCTAAATCTCCAGCCCCTGAGAATTATACATTTCTCTGGCACAGCTGTGTGAAATCTCCAAATGTATTTGGCTATCTGTTTTATTTTTGGTGTCTTCTTAAATATAGTCAAAAACTATGCATCCACTTCTGAAGGAAGAATGATCAGTGATTATATCAAATTAATTGATCCTGAAATCTGGTTATATCCAGTAATGGTACAGCCAGGATTATATGCCACTTTATTTTCATAGAGATACCTGCTTATAATGGCAACCGATCATGTCTCTAGAGAGTGGATGTAATAATCTTACAGAAAGTAGATAGATATCTCTATTCAAAAGAGAAAATACACACATTCATTTTTAAAAGCTGAAATACCAGAGTTCTTTTACAATCAGATGGAGCTTTATAGAATTTTGGGTCCATTTGTGACCACAGAAGATCACAGTTCGACTGTTTCACACGTATGCCGGGAATACTATTTCTGTGATACACTTTTTTTGACTAGTAACTCTACTTTTAATTCTGTATTGTCTATGGATATTTTACTTGAAATTCAATGTTTTTATTATTTTTTAACCCATAGGATAAGATTCTAGTATTGTATATGAATTTCAATAGCAAGTGAAAAACTAAAATCATGTATATGTGGAAATATTTCCACATATTTTTTATCAATGTAAAGTTGCCTTTTGAGCTATACGTCGATGTGCCCCCTCTGAGAAAAAGTATCAAATGTATGGAAAATCCTGCGTTCCAAGTTTGCCATTACTTTTATCAGTCACCATTTTGATGTACTCTTACAGATCCACTTCCATCTGTCTGCACATAACTTCTTTTGTAGACTTAACGAGTGCAGTAAACAATGTTATTCACAGATCTCTTAATTAAATCTTGTAATTTCTACCCAAATAGTTCCAGCTTATTTGATGTAATGGTTTTCATTTTAAACAAACTTTTCACGGTAGTACAAGGTACTTATAAAAGGATACAAATCATAAGGTCCTGCTTCAAGACCTTTCACAAAACAGTTAGCCCAGGTCAGCAAGCAGAACATAACCAGCTCCAACATTCCCTCCTCAGGCACTGAGCCAAAGGTAATCACTGTCCTGACTTCTAAGGCCTGTGTTTTTAGAACTGCAAAAGATGAAATGATTTTTTTTTCTTTCCTTCTCTTTTGTCTCTTATCTTCTTGCAAGGTTATGATTTCATCCAAGTTATTGCGTAGAACATGCATTAGTTTTCCCTGCTGTAGAGTGTTCCACCTAATATTTATCCTATTTGTATTTATTTGTTTTATTTATAATGAGTAATGCTGTTATGAACACTTTCTGGTAAGGACACTTCCATGTTTTAGAAATATCCGGGGTGGGGGGATACTCTGCCTGGGGCTTTCAGTTATAACACAGGAGTCAATGAAATTAGGGTTGTTCTCCATCTGCGTCAGGTTAGCCAAGTAAGGAAAGTTTAGTTTCAGTTAGGAAAGAAAGGATTTATCATGCAAATAGTGAGCAATGTAATGTAAGGCACATCAACTCTAATCATATGAACTTCAGCTTTGGGAAGCTGATAGCTACAAGGAACAGGGGAAAGAGAAAAATAGAAATAGCAAGGGGAGGGGAAAAAGGTCAGAGGAGTAAGAGTGAAAAAGGTAACAGAACCACAGATTTAAAAAGATCAAGGAAGGAGAGATATAAGAAAGGGAAAACTATCAAGAAAAAGTCAAAGACTGTAATAAAAAAATGGACATAAAAATTCAGCATGGACAAAGCATCTAAAAGTATACTTAGATTTTATATAATTATGTGTTTTATTGGATTTTGGCCTACTAGTGTATGCTTATGAGTCTGTATATAGGATAATTAACTTCATAATAACATAAATGAATCTGATGCTTGCAAAATAAAAGGGGGTGGAAGAAAAGGGGCGGGGATTGGGATGTGTTATGTACACGCACCAGTTCCCTACAATGAATGTAATCATTATGAGTTGCAAACATCTCCTAATAAATTTTTTTAAAGAATTGTTTTGTGGAAAAAAAAAAAAAAAGAATTGTTTTGTGGGCCAGGGGTTTAGCTCAGCAGTGTGTCTGCTTGGCAAACGCAAGGTCATGAGTTCGATCCCTGGCACCAGAAAAAAGAATTCTTTTTTTGTGGTATCAGGGATCAAACTCATGACCCTGTGCTTGCCAGGAAGGACTTACATCACTGAGCTAAATCCCTGGCCCCAAGAATTTAAAAAATGGAGATAAAGTCAGGCATGGTGGTACCTGCCTATAATCTCACTGCTCTAAGAAGTGGAGGCAGGAGGATTGCAAACTTGAGCCCAGCATAGGCAACTTAGTGACTTTAGTGTCTTGGTTACTTTTCTGTCCTTGTTGAGACAAAATACCTGACACCCACATTTAGGGAAGGTTTATTTCCTACAGTTTTGGAGGTTTCAGTCCATACTCAGCTCCAAGTGGCAGGGTGGCGTGGCAGAGCCACTATTTATGGCCACCACAAATAATAATGCACCAACAGAAAAAAAAAGACATACCTTCTTCCCACCATTACCCTATATGCTGGCTCCTCCCCTAGGTGGATGTAGCACTCACACCACCAACCCAAGTGCTTGGCTAGCACAAACCAATTACAAACGCTAGATTTGGCTGCATCTATGATGGTCTGATTGAAGTTCGGTGAGGGGGCATCTGAGCAGAAACCATAACACTTAGTGTAATCCTGCCTCAAAAAATGTTTTATTAACACCTGTTTGCAGTACATAATGGTTGCATTTATCATGGGAGTTTGTACATGTACATAATACAGTTTAATTTATTTTTGTTCACCCTCCCCTGCTCACTCTATCTCATTTCCCTTCCCATTTGCAAAAGCTCTATTCGTTTTTTTCTTTCTTTTTTTTTTTTTTTTTTTTTTTGGTCTTTTTCCTTTTTATCGGTACCCGGGATCGAACTCACGACTGCCTGCTTGCAAGGCAGGCGCTTATGCCGCTGAGCTAAATCCCCAGCCCCTATTTGTTTTTTTCAATTCTCATTTTTTAAAAACACATTTATCTGTTCCTCCATCTCTTATTCGCCTTCCCATTTGAAAAAGATATCCCTACTTCCTATTATCTGTCTTTTATTTTGCTCTTTATATTTTGGGTTTCCCATATAAGAGAAACCATGGAATATTTAAACCTGTGTGTCTGGTTTATTTCACTTAACATTATGCTCTTGAAACGAATCCATTTACCTATGAATACCTCAAATTTATCCTTCTTTATAGCCAGGATAGTGCTCTATTGTGCATAAATACTACATTTTCTTTTTTAAAAATTTTATTTAAAGAGAAAAAAAACAGAAAAAGGGTACAAGTAATACATTTCAAAAAGAATAAACAGTATGCAATCACTAGTTAATAGATTACATATTATCATCTTAGAAATAGTTGTTCAAGTTACAAAATTAAAGCATACAAAGTGGACATTCAAACAGTGAGACTGCAAACAGTTCTGTTCAATGATCCAACAAAAACTTAGTAATTTGGTCATCTATCTTACACACTTAAATATACATGCAGTATATCCTTTAGAGCACTTTGTTTTCCTTTCTTTTTTACAATAACAATTACACATTTTGGGTTTTATTACTCCCACAGTTCCTACTACTTTTTTCGAACAGAATAAAACCAAATGTGACAAAACAAAAGAGAGTCAGTCCAAATAAGGATGGACATAGTACATGATGTAAAAGCAGAATACAAGATGATCAACAGTGATTACCTCTTGCTATCTTAAAAAGAATTGCCTATATCATCAGGTATAATAAATTGAACAAAACAAGATAGAACAAAACCAATAAAACCATAACATTGGAGACTACTACATTTTCTTTATCCATTTATCTGCTGATGGGCTATTTTCATGATTTAGCTATTAAAAATTGTGCTGTTGGGCTGGAGGTTTAGCTAGTGGCATAAGCACCTGCCCTGCAAGCAGGCAGTCATGAATTCCACCCCCAGTACCGATAAAAGGAAAAAGACCAAAAAAAAAAAGGAATAGTGGAGCAGAGTTTAGTAGCAGAAAAATAAAATCCACATAAAAGGCTGATTTCAACACAAGCATATTGTTATGGTTTGTGTCCAGACGCGCCCCTGTTCTCCCCACAAAGCCTTATGTGGTCATGGAGGGGAGCTTTTCAGAGTAGACTGAGTTTAGAGTTTGTGACTGACTCACGGTCCAGTGCTGAGATTGAGTGTGTAAGGGCTGCACCTAGGGCAGGTAGCCTGTATACACTATAAGGGACAGAAAAAGGCCTACCTGCCGCTTTGTCTCTGTCTCTTTCTTGTTGCTTTTGCTGTCTTTTACTGCCATAAATGGTTGCCCCTCTGCCATGTGTCACCCTGCGTTGGAGCCAGCCGATTATGAACTGAAACTGCTACAAACTGCGAACTAAATAAATCTTTCCCCCTTTTAACTTTGGGTTTTGGGAATTTGTCTCAGCAATGAGAAAAGTAACTAAGACACATATCCTTAGGGAATTCAGAGAAGCAAGCAACACTCCCTGTCTTATTTACCATCCCATTTTGAGTTCTTGGTCCCCCTTCCTGGCTTGCCTTGTCTACTCATGATAAGAATTCCTATGGCTATGCTCTGTGGTTAACTTACATTGGTATGTAAGCTCCAGTATTGTTTTGTTCCTAGCTATATCCCAAATACTTGGAAGAATGAGAAGTTCCAGACACATATCAGGCGCTCCATACATACTACTGGGTGACTGAATTAGGCTGTAGTTAGTGACACTAGATAAGGACAACACGGTTTGAGAAAGGCGGGCTTCAAAGCATATAAGACATTCAGGGTTTCCTGATTTTCAGAACTAGATCGCTGTTCACTTGTGTGCTTATCTATTGTTTCCAGAAAGGGGCTGGGGGTTTACTTGGATGGTAATAGAGGCCCTCCTATTCAGTGAGTTGAAGATGCTTGTCACCTCTGTACCCATACTGACCAAGGAAGGTCACGTTATCCTTTTCTTCAGGAACAGCTTTGGGCCTGGACACAGAAGTGCTGTTTTTACATAAGATCTAGCTTCTAGGCCATTTCCAGTGGACTGTTCAGATCAAATGCTTTGGTAGGTCTGAGTCCACTCCATCTTCATTTAAAACTTTTTATTTTAAAATAATTACAATTCGGGGCTAGGGGTTTAGCTCAGCGGCACAAGCGCCTGCCTTGCAAGCAGGCAGTCATGAGTTCGATTCTCAGTACCGATAAAAAGGAAAAAGACAAAAAAAAAAAATTACAATTCAGGAGCTGGGGATTTAGCTCAGCGGCATAAGCACCTGCCTTGCAAGCAGGTGGTCTTGAGTTCGATCCCCGGTACCGATTAAAAAAAAATGACAAAAAAAAATTATAATTCACAGGAATTTGCAAAGAAATGCACAGCAAGATCTCTACGCACCTGTCACCCAGTCTCCCCCAGAGTTAACATCTTGCTTCACTACAGGACAATACAAAAGCCAGGGGACTGGTGTGGAACAAACCATAGACCTTATTTGCATTTTGCCAGTGTACACTCATTCGAGTGTGTGTATATATGGCTCCATGCAATTTTATTCCGTTTACAGCTTAATAAAAGACTCCCACAATCATGAAGTTTATTCTATAGTAAAAGGACTCCTGAGGGTCCCTTTTCAAAAGCATCACAAGTGCAGGTATCCCTTACAACATCACACTACCCCGAAACTTAGGCCTGAACAAGGGCATCCCAGTTGGAGATTTTCTATCCTTGATTAAACTTCCTGTGGCCAGGGTTACTGTCGAACTTATTTACGGTGACTTCCAGTGAGCGCCAGGGAGAAAATCCTCATCCTCTACAATTTTGTTGCTACCCACTACATCCCTGGCAGGGGCAGTTCTAGGTCACACAGCAG